CATGAGGTGTGATTTCTGCAAGTAATAAGCAATGGTACCACATGGGCCATGCGCTTTGGGGATAGTTTCCACTGTGCTGGCTTGCACGTTGCAAACTGCTGGTGCGTGTTGCCTCGTCAGCACGTAGGAGGAATCTGCGGAAAGCTCGGAACACCGCTGTGAGCGCGAATTCCTCAGGGTCCTGAAGCTTAGCAACAAGCACATTGCAGGCTAGCATGGATGATGTACTCTGAAATTCTTTACCAAGCAGAGCGGTGGCGGCCTGAGTGCGCAATTTGCAAACACGTTGGTCACCAAGTGGCATCAACTCACATGCAAACAGCGCTTTTGGCCAAATCGAAGCCTGGATGATGCGCCCCTTTATTTGCAGGCTGGTGTCACATCGCATTAGCGTTCTCAGTCTGCCCGAGACACTGTCAAGACGGCCAACTTGTTCCAGGAGGTCATGGCATTTGCCATAGTGCAAGATGCATCCAAGATCTTTAGAGGCGTTTTTGACAGCAATTTTGTTGGGATCTGCGAAAAGCTGTTCACCAACATCTCGCCACACGGCCGTTCGGGCCTGCTTATCTGCCCATCCCCAGGATTTGCTCCAATCAATAGAAAGGCGTACCGCGTCTGCAGCTTGGCACAACCGCTCAACTGCATTCTTGTTCGAGGCGGCGTTGGGGGTGAACCAACTCCAATTGTCGTAAAAGGTGTAGGGTTGGACCCCAGCATGCTGTGTCCATTGCACAAAGAACCACGAGTAAGCTGCCATGACGGGAACCGACATGGGGCACCCCTCGAAAAAGGCTGTTGTAGCGGGACACAACGCTGAGAGGTTGCCGTCGATAGAGAAGGTACGGCTCACCTTCAAGAGAGTCTTGTAATAAATATCACAAATGGCTTCAGGCATGCCAAGTTTAAGCAGCAACTGCTTACCTGGCATTCGGGGAAGGCAATTGAAACATTTTACGATGTCACAAGAAAGGCCATATATTGCAGAGTTGTTGTGGTGTGCCTCTTCAATGGTGGACTGGTGCTGGTACGTGAGGTCAGTAGCACTGATTCCAGGGATTGCCCCCGCGACTCCCTTCGGGAAGAAATGTGACCAGTGTTGCAAAAGACGCGTGGCAGCTTGTGATGCCCAAAGGCGCCGCAGTAGGGGGGCAATAGTAATGGGCCTGGCATGATTGCAACTTTCAGGCTGGTCGATTTTGGCAAGGAGGGAAACCCGGCTGACCATAACCCAATCAGGCCAGCCATCTGAGAAACCGGCCACAATGCGGGCGAGGTCAAGCAATGCGCTATCTCCCAAGAGTTTGAGTTCGTCTGCGGAAGCCGCAAGTACCTTGTGCAGTACGTGATTTGAGACGCTTGACGCGCCTTCCAGCTAGCAACGTCGAGCATATCAAGGTGGCACATATCAGGCGGTGCGGGCATCTGGCCTAACAAGGCTTCGAATGTGCTCCAAGCGTCTGTGTCTCCTCAGTGGAGGGATGGTCACGCTCCCAGAACTGACTTCAGTAAGTCGCGAATTGCTGGTGCAATTCAGCAGCATCAATGATTTCACGGGTCTGCACAAGTGTGAAAGCAGCGGGCACTGTGGTACCTCCGGGATACTGAAACGTAAGGGCATTCAGGATGGGCTGATTCTGCACGTAGGTGGTGCAACACAGATTAAACTCGTCTGCCTTATTGATTCGAGCACGAAAGTAGCCTTTCTGCCTAGATGCGAGGAGCGTAGCCGAATGTTCGCATCTCACCAATAACTTGGTGATGGGCGGCTTGCTCGGGCTGCGCACCTTCTGGAAGGTGGCACGGCAGTAAGCCTCTTTTTCATCAAGCGTTTGGCGGTACGCACGAGTGGCTTTACGGTCAACAATGTCTTGGCATGCTACTGCATTGGCATCGTATTCCACAATCTGTGCAAGGTCGTGCAGCAGTGCACTGTCAGGTCGGCTGAGTGGGAGAAAACCGACCTCGGGCCAACAGGGCCCAGGTAGTGAAATCAGGTGCTTACCTGAGGCAGCAAGAACGGCGTTCCATTCACGGTCAATCTGCAATGCGACATGGCTAGGCAGGCTGTGCTCGTATTTAGAGACTAGCAGATAGAGTGAACGGATACGTCTGGCTTGCTTGACTCGTTTACGATAATTCATTGATGTAGACTCGGATGAGGGCTCAAAGTCTCCAACACGGCCCTTTTTGATGGGCATCGCAATTGGCGTCTGTGTCATGCTTCTCTGGGTACATCGACCTCTGTGTGCCTTAGGAAGGTGCTTGATTGGAAACATGGAGGGATCATCTCCAAGTTGCGCATGCAGCGTCTGGTCAACTGAATGCTCAATAAGAATAGTGCCGCCGTGTCTTGACTGTCTTGATCCTGGATTTGGCTGCTGGGCATTTCAAAATCAAGTCGACGGTTCTGGTCATCGAGTTTGTCTTTGCGGACGTCCAGAGCTGCAAAGTTCTTAGGCAGACGAAATCGGGTTTCTTCAGAATCTGATTGGTTGGCAGCGTGAACTGGGCAATCATGGGAGAATGGCAACTAAATGTCTGGTCAGGGTCAACATTACGGAAAAATGGCAACAGCTTGGGGTCGCACATGAAAGTGTCATTGTTGGTGGCACCATTACAGGTGGGTGGGAGATGTACTCCGCTCACACGGTAGCGCCAAGATCCGGCTTCCTGAAAACCATGGTCAAAAAAGGTTCGACAATGGCACATTAAAATCTCCAGCCACAATGGTAGGCGTGGAATTTATGGCCATTCGTTGCCAAACCATTTCAAGAAGCAGACTCGTTCGGGCGTCATGGCGTTGGAATCCATAGATACAAAACTCCGTATGGTGAGGGCTCCAATTTGGACATACGTCTCTAAGAGTCTACAGCCCAGGCAAGAGGCAGGGCATCTCTGGAGGTACGGCAGGGATGTCGTGACAGGAGCCCAACCCCCATCGCTTTGCCACGCAATCCATCCTGAGTTGATGATGGTTACCCCATAGCCAGGAGGCTTTCTGTTTTCGTGCCTCAGGATGTTCTGCAATTTGTACACTGGTGGTCGCGGATGTTTCGGAAACCGCAACAGTGTCTCCCAACAGCAGAACACGCGAGGTTTTGCCTGACACCGCAGTTGGGTGAATGATGGCAAAATGCCAATCGACTGGTCCTGGGTTTGTTGCTTCACCAACACGGCACGCCTCAAGGTAAATCCTGAAAAGTACCAGTTGGGGAAAAGATCTGCAAAAAAGGTTCAGGTCCTCTGTGTAAACCAAGGGCAAAGCAGAAGAGAAAATATCTGAAGGGCACGATTTCACACAATGGCCAACCGGGCCAACCCAACTGTGCACTAGAGGGCAGCCAGAGCAAAAACCGAAAGGAAAGGGGAATAACCAAGAAGGTCCCAAAGATCGCGGTAGGCTTTTTCCACGAATCGGCATGATCGGGTCAGTGGCAAACCCATCAATGCTGGTTGCTGCATTGCAAAGCACTTCACCTGGTTGCGGCTCTGCAAGAGAAACACTGCGGCAAAAAGGCCTGGCACACAGCTGGCACAACTCATTGTGCAAAGCTGCGCTGCAGGCGCACCCGGTTGGGGCCAGCGCCGGAATGGTGCGGCCGGATCACATGTCGTCCTCATCTTCGGGGCTCTTTGCTTGCGCACGTTTGCACCCTCGAACGGGCCGAGAGGCTTGGGAGTTGGCGAGGATCAGATCTTTCAGCTCCTGAAAGCTGTTCTGAGTGCGCTGCTCCTGCTGAACCAATGCACCTTTGACAAACTCATGAATCTCGGTGACTGTCCGAGTGACACCCGTGCGCAAATCGGCGACTTGCTGAGTAGTCGCACTCTGGACAGCATCAAGACGATCTGCAGTGGTTTTGGCAAACTCTTCTTGTGCTTCACGTAGGCTGCGGATGCTGCCTTTGAGCTCACTGATCGCTTGCTCATGCTCTTTGATTCCTGATGCGATGGCTGGTGTGGGCGCTTCAACCGATCGTCGCGGCTGAGATTGTTTGTCTTCAGCCTTGGTCTGGGAGCCTCCCCACGGGTCAGCAGTGAGCCAAGGGTCTGTCGAAGAGGTACTTCGAGTGGCAGTCACGATTGGCTTTTCAGCAGCTTTGCTGAGCTCTTGGAGAATCAGCAACGAACCGTTGAACTCAAGGCTCATGGTGGGTGGGGGCCTGCTGCACCTAGGATACATCCTGTGGGCCCGATGGTTTTGACAACCTTGGCAGACCACCCAAGTGATTTGGTCCATGCACGGATCGCGTCAGGCGGGGTGCCCCAAGGCAACCCATGCACCCTGTACACAAACTTGGGCTGGATGTGTTCCGGTACAGTTTTCTCAGGCAGGATCGCTGCATGGGCAGCTGCATACTGTGGTGTGCTCACGCGGATGCCGTACGAATGACGGGCACGCACAATGCCATAAGGAACTGCTGCTTGCGCCGAGAGCCGGGCTGTCTCAAGCTTGGGCTGTCCTGGCCAGATGATACGGAAGTCAGGACTTGGTTTGCCATCGACGAATGGCTGGGTGTACAAAAACTGGCTACCAGAAACCTTTAAGGTGAGCACTTTGCACACACGCTCGGAAGGCAATGACAGAGGCCTGACTGGCAGCGGTGGTCTTGTTGCGGTCACCCTTGAAGGCCCTACCCCACACATGAGAGAACGGTACCTCGACCCCGTGATCTACAAGGATTCGCTTGGCCTCTCGAACAGGGTGAGCGATGATCTGAGTCCACACGTCTGCTGGTGCCTCATCTTGATACAAGACAATGCTGACTTCTGCCGAGGCTTGTTGTGGCAATTTCACCAGTGCCAAGCTGGAAAAGCTTGCCCGCAATGACAAGTTGTCTCCCAGAAGGATCTCTGCCTGGGAAGGTGATCCTGGTTCCCTCAGTACCATCGACTGTCTGGCTGGCCGGGATCACGATTGCAGCGTTCATGAATGATCCCTGTGGCTTGGGGAGCAATGGTCTGCAGGATTGGTACAATGTCCGCCGAGGCTTGGCATGAAATCTCTTGATTCTCGCGGTCACACTGCGGTCTGCAAGCTGGGGGATTTGGAGTTCGGCTTCCGTGCATGCATGCTGGATGCAGGTCCATCTGCTGTGTTCCGGACCCTTGAGGATTTGGTGCAACCTGTGGATTGCGAATTTGCCGAAGGCTTTCTCAACAAAGCCGTGGACATGTGCACTTGGCATGCCGGCGGAAATGGCAACCTTTGCAACTTCGGGTTTGATTGCAAGCACATGGTCCTGTTTGGCTCCTCCTCCTTGCAAGGGCAAAACCACATGGATGGTGGCACTGCCTTCTCTTTGGATGTCTGCAAGTCTGACCTGGGGCATGGCCTGGCGCCCATTGGCAACGGCTCGGACCTCTTCACGGAATCCTGACCAGCAAGCGCTGGAATTCCAGAGGCCGGTGATCTGTGAGATACAGACATTATCAGGCACGGTGCCTGAGAATACACTGGATGCAACCGTTTTGACCTTGAGCGAAATCTGCGTTCCGGCAACTTCCTTGCGCCAATTAGTGACAGCATCACGAAAGTACACACAGAGCAAGCCTTGCAACAAACCCTGAAGGGCAAAGACAGGGGTAGCCTGGGCATTACTGATGCGAAACTCATGGTGGGTTGGCAATTGAGAAGTGGTGCTCCAGTGATACCAGATACATCGAAAAAATGGCGCCCGCTCAATTAATTTGCAAGTGTTTTCCTGCAAGGGCAAGATGCGTGTCAGCAACCCTGAAAGGGGCCCAGGGGTGGGTGTCCAAGAAGTGCAAGGTCTCTTTTCCGAGGCAGGCTAATGCCTTTTGCCGGATCCTGGATACTGCCTATCATCCGCAAATCATGCAAGGCAGGGAAAACTCTCACAAGCACCGTCAAAATGCGCGCACATTTGCCGTAGATGCGTGTCTCGGGATGGACCTGGCAGCCATCTGCACCTAGGCTGGAGATCTTGATTGCAGAGCTTTCAGAGCTTTCGCCACTGGTGTGCATACAACCGTCAATTGCAAGCTGGGTAACACGTGCAACCAAAAGCCATTCGACACTAGCAATATCAAGCGCAAATTGGTTGGATGCGGCATGGTATTGCAAATGCTGATCTGCGGGATTGTCTGGGCAGCATTGGATCTGCGGTTTCCATCCTGCACCCTGCAGGAAATCATCAACGCCAGCTTCACACAGGATCTGGTGGGCTCGGTTCCAGTCGCCTCGGGTCGTGTTGCAACTGAGATGCCCCGAGCACGAGAGACGAAGTGCAGCTAAATCATCTGGCAAGCTGCGGTTGGATCCTGACCCACACCCATTGCGGCAGGTTTGCGGTAAGGCCCCTGATCACATTGCCTGTCGCATCTGTGGGCGACCATGCTCCTCGTCTGCCAAAATGTCCGGGTGCAAGGATAAGCATGTCAATGGCATCAACACAAAGGGGTGGAAGCTCACTTCGGGTGGTGATCAGCATACCTTTGGAAGCCAGAAGAACACAAGATCGTGATCTGGGTTGGGCTGCAATCCCTCGATCGCATCAAGTCTGAGATGGTCGGACTCAAGATCAATGGCACCTGTGAGCTCTGCGGTTGCTTTGGTCATGTTGGTTTGCAAGGACGCTCTACCGTGATGTGTTGCTGGCCCCATGGCAGCTCGTGTTCCTCCCAGCAAAAGAAGGTTTGAGTGGGTGGGGCACAGGGATCTGGGGCAGGGATCGGCAGAACCACGATCATGCTTCCGTCTTCAATCACAATCTCAGCACCATTCAGCCTCATCCGATTGGTCGTGAGTTCAGTCACAATGCTGCTGACCGAGATGTGCAAGTTGGAATGAGCGACACTGCACACGACTGTAATTCCTTGCAAGGCTGCGATAGCTGACTGGAGTGGTGTGAAAATGTTACCCAACATGCGGGAAGTGATAGCAAAACCACAAGGCAAGCGGAGCAGAGTGCTGTCTGTCGACCACACTGGCAGGCCTAGGATTGCGGCAACCTCGAAAGGATGCAGGAAGGCTGGCGCACTCTGTACGAGGCCATGATTGGGCCAGCTTGCGAGAAAGCTTGATCACATCTTGGGGATGGCTGCTGGATTTCCACTCCTTTGGCAAAAGCTTCGGGTTGGAAAGGTTCTGCATCTCAAGGTCATTGGGTCGCAATGGTTCCGGATCAAGAGTGGGGCTATCAATCAGGCATGCTGAGTTGGTCACTGAGGATGGAACCATGGCATCTGGCAGCTTGATCTTGGCGGGTGCTCAAGGTCCCTCCTGATGAAGACCGCCACCAATCGGCTACGGGATGTGGGAAGCCACCCTGCAGTGTCATGACAGCTAGAATGGATCAGCTTGAAACCTACGGCAAGCAGTGAGCTGCAAATCCAATCCCAGTGCGGGTGCTTCGGAAGTCCTGTCACGTTCTCAATGCACATACACAATGGCTGAATCAGAGAGACTGCGTCCACCAAGTCTGCCACATTAAGGCCAAGAGCTGCATTCAAGCCTTTGCCTGTGCCGGTGATGCTCCAGGGCTGACAGGATGGGCTGGCAAAAGCAACATTGATGCCACAACCTGCAATTGGCAACTTCGGTACAGAAAATGTGCTCATCCGTATTTGGCTCCAATTTACATGAAGAAAGATCCATGGCACTATTCGCGGCGGAAGCTACTGCCTCTTGTAGGCAGTGCCCTGAGCCCCTTCGGTGGCTCCGCAAGACCTGGGACCGAAGCGTCTTCATCTCTTTACCGGTTACTGCGCGGCAACTTTGCCCGCAGCCTGTTCGACGCCCCGGCGCTCGGCGCGCGCGTAGCGCAGCCGAGGGACCTGTCGGTGCACGGCCTCCGTCAGCCGGCTCGCGTCGCCCAGGTGCCGACGCCCCTCCTGGGCCCAGCCTTCTACCTGGACGACTTCGCGCAGTCCAGCAAGGACCCCAACCCACAGCCTCTGCAGCACACGCCGCGGTAGGGGATTTTCGAGGATGGTCAAGGACGACTTGGCAGGAGACCCCGAGGCCGGCGCCCTGGCAAGCAACGGCCAGGGTCCGCCCTCCAGCACGGACCGTCTGCGCAGCATGGCCGACGGCGCGCAGGCAGCAGCAGGGCTCGCAGCCGTGCAGGCCTTCCGCTCGCAGCTCCCTCAGGACGCCGCCGAGTACGCGCGCCTGAACGTGATGCCCCGAAAGGGCCCGCAGCCGCAGCCGCTCGAGAGGCTGTGAAGGAGGAAGTTGCCCAGCCGACAACACCGAGGTCTGGAATGGCGGCCATGGAAGTTGATGCGGAGTCAACTGCAGCGGAACTGGGAAACCTTTGGGCTGGGGACGGCTGCTTCTCGCGCTGTATCCGCTTTGAGGGACTGTAGCCTGGAAGCACATTTCGTGGACCTCAAGAAAACAACCCCATCCAGGAGCCACTGAGGAACCGGGGGTCAGGACGGCTGCTTCTAGCGCTGTGTCCGCCTTGAGAAACTTGTGGATTCTTCCGCGAGCTGATGACACGGTCCGAGAAGAGGTGTGAACAAGTGGCTCTATGTGGGCACGGATGAATTCTGCGAAAGGTAGTGGACAAGATTTCCACACAGGTTCGGGTGGGCAAGGCGAGGATGCGGAAATGGGCATCATTAACCTCTTTCCCCAGGTCCACGTCTGGTGGTCGGCTGTCAGGAGGATTCAACTTGGATGGGGCGGATGTGGTAGCGCGCTTCAAAAAGGAAACCCTGAATGCCAGCACAGATCCCGATTCTCTGCGGACACCGACATGTGTGCGCAGGCCCATGATGCGAAGAGGGTGCTCTGGGCTTCGGATCTCTCAGCCACAAGGTATGCCTCCTGACATGGCCAACATTCATGCGACAATCAAGAACACCCAGGCAGAAGGGGGCATGGAGACCAAGCCCGTGGCTCAGCTGGAAGCTGCCACTGCGCGATCGCGGGAATGGCGCTGTCGGTGTTGAGGTTCTACACATCGCTGGCCTCGTGGCGCAGGAAGGAGGCGGCCCAGTCACCCCCAAGCACCTTCTTCGCCACCGTAAGCAAGGTTTACGCCATGGCCACAATTGACTCCAAGGCGATGCTGGCGTATGTGTACCAGGACCTGGGGGGTGAGGGCTCTGACAGCATGCTTGGGTCCTTCAAGCGCATCTTGCTTCGAGGGGTTATTGACGGGCCTCCTGGACTTGAACAAGGCGGTGGCACTGCGCCCCAAGCCAGGGGAGCTGAAGTACCAAAAACGCCAACGCGAAGAGGACGCGGTGGATCATCATCAAAAAGTTGTATGGAGCTTCCTCAGAAAAGCAGTGGAAGCAAATGGTGATGATATGGCGCACCTCTCTCCTGACGGTTGTGACCACCCACCATCGTCCTCACCAAGGATCAAGATGTCCATGGAACACGATGTCTATCTCCAAGGCGCTCACCCAGATCAAGAATGACGTCCGCTTCTGAAACTGCCCAGTCCTCATGCCGACGGTGAAAAGAACTACTGGTATGTATATATACATATAGTTATCAAAGGAAGTTTAGAAGGAACTTCCGTGTACAGATCGCCCACGAGAACAAACGGGCGCGCGTGTGGTGGGAGAATAGAAGCACGCCAATAGGATAGCCCTGTGCGTGAATTGGCGTCTCCGGAGAGCTTAAAGCTGGCCTGTTTGCGGCGCCTGGTCGGAGCGGGCTCGGAGTGCGTTCGGAACACGTTCGGAGCGCATGCCCATTGGCACGGCGACGCGGAGGTTTCACAAGGTTAGAGTTGCGTGGCAGGCGCAGCGTGTTCGCAAGTTGAGGTACAGGTTTCGTGGCAGGCGCAGCACTTTCGCAAGGTCAAGTGCAGATTTCGTGGCAGGCGCAGCACTTTCGCAAGGTCAAGTACAGATTGCGTGGCAGGCGCAGCATTTTCGCAAGGGCTTTCGCGAGGTCAAGTACAAATTGTGTGGCAGGCGCAGTCTTGTGGCAAGGTCAAGTACAGATTTCGTGGCAGGCGCAGCGCTTTCGCGAGTCAAGTGCAGCTTTCGTGGCAGGCGCAGCGCTTTCGCAAGGTCAAGTACAGATTTCGTGGCAGGCGCAGCACTTTCGCAAGTTCAGGTGCAGATAGAGGGATAGATAGACAGACAGATAGGTAGATAGATAGCAAGAAATCTAGATAGATAGATCCATAGATAGATTGATATATACATAGATAGAAGATAGATAGGTGGAAAAAGAGGTAGGCAAACAGATGGATAGATAGATAAATACCTAGATAGATACAAAGAGAGATAGAGAGAAAGAAAGAAAGAAAGAAACAAAGAAAGAAAGAAAGAAAGATAGATAGATAGATAAAGAGAGAGAGAGATAGACAGATAAATAAATAGATAGATCAAATAGATAAAATAGATAGTCAGATAAATAGATCAGATAGAGATAGAAAGATAGATTAGATAGATAGAGAAATAGGTAGAGATATAAATAATTGCTACCCCCCTGAAATACTCAAGTTTTGACCAGACTGGGGACATCGAACCTTTTGGTTTCTTTTCTAGCGGTCTTTGATAAATTGCCACGCACGATCACGATCTACATGCTGAGTGCCCGCCTTCACTTTCAATTTCGTGCCGTCCCGCATGGTGTGGTTCACCACCTTCACGTACTGTGGCGCCTTCCAAGCGCGCTTGCCATTCTTCTGGGTCACCAACTTCTTGGGTCACCAACTTCTAGCAGTGGATGACAGCGTCGTGGTACACTCCAGAGATCTTCGCCTCGTAGCTTTTGGCAGCGTCGGTGCGCAACATCACCCGCATGTTCTTGAGGTGCCGCTCGGTTAGTGGCGTCCAGCCAATCTTCCGGATTGCTCCTGGGCCCGGCGCCCGCTTCACTGTCAACGCCGGGTTCAAGCGACAGCACCAGCGTAGAGGGCTTTCCACGTGCAAGAATGCCGCTCCACTGCTCCCATAAGATGGACTTGCCATTGATGATGGCTGCCTTGTACTCCACCTCCTTAGACATGTCGGCACGATCGAAAGTGCACTTGTCAGCCTCAACGTCGGCCCAGGTTCTTTTGCCGCCAAAGACGATGGTCCTCTCCTTTTCCTCAACATAGGCTTGTCTTGTTCTTGCCAGTCGACTCGACATCTCTTCCACCACCTTGTGATTGACGCCCAAGAGCATGAAGAGGACAGCCGCGTGAGTTTGCAACGGAAGATAGGACTGCCCGCGGCCTGATGCAAAGAGGGGGCGCAAGTGCTGTGGCCGCGCCACATGGCGGCACTTCCATCCACGGCACTGGCGCTGCGGCAGGCCTTGGTGCGTCTTGGTGGCCAAGTAGCTCTTCCAGCATCGAGGACATCGCTTCTTGTCCCACTTGGGAAGGAGACCGTCTTGCTGTAGCTTTTGGATGATCTTCTTGTTGCTGGCGCTCAAAATCTCTTTCAGAGTGCGCTTCCAGGAAGCCCGATCTCCGCGAACACCTGCAGCGGGCACATCGCGAGACACGCGAACATACTTCACCTTCTTGTACTCCTGAAACTTCTTGGAGGCAGGTCGCTTGTGCACCACTCGAAGCTTGCCACGCTTGGGGACAACTCCATTGGCAGGGGAAGGCGTGCGAGAACAAGGAGAATGACTGAGTTTTGTGGAAGCTGCTGGAAGGAAGCGTTGTCACATCACATCCTAAAGCACATGTGCGCACAACTTGTTTTGCCTTGCCGCGTTTCATATTCTGCCAGGGCGGAGCGCTTAGCATCTCACAAGTCACACATCACCATGAAGTCTGGCCGCCTCTTCTTCGTCTGCGTGATATTCGTCTACAGCAGTGGTATCATGGCCTTCACCCGCGCCCGCAGAGTTGGGTTGAGGCAAGTCCTGGGGCATGGAAGCAGGCGCCTTGCTGCGGTGACGCTTGGTCGGTATCCTGAAAGGAGACTTAAATCGAGAGTTCTTGCGCTGCGAGCCGACGTCCAGAGGCTTCGGGAAGACCGCCACACCCTTCTCATCCCTGCGTGCGCTAAAAGTTGTGTCCAAGTCATCTTCTGGAGAGTCAGGCAGTTGAAGGGTCCCAGGGGCCACAGGGGGCAAGCGCGCCAGCAAGAGCTTTGAAGAGATCTCAGCATTGCAGAAGTCAATGTACTGCTCCGGACGATTCACGCAAGCGGTCCATGCCTTGGTTGATGACAACTTGATCCTTAGAAACATCCTCTTCGTACGTGGCACCATACTCGTACTCACCCTCTTGTACTGGGTCCCTCTGAAACAACACATCTGTGTGCACATCCTCCACGTGTTACGATGAGTCGCACCAGATGAGCTTTGAGTGGGCAGTCTCAAGTACAAAGCAGAATTCCCGAAGACCCACACAACGCTGCGCTTCAGTACAGCGAGCACATCCGATCTACGATCTCTAGGGAAGCTCTTCCGCAGCAACTTGAAAAACTCATCCGGGGTAATACCCACCGCGCCATCCTTGACAGGCTCATCGGCATCAGCCAGGTCGTTGGAGGCATAGCCCCGCATTCCGTTCTTGATCAACTTGACATCATTGTATCGGCCGCTGCAGGTCTGATCCTCTTCCACAGTCATGAAGCTCTTTAAGTCTGAGATGTCAGCCTTTGCCTCCGGCCAACCGGAGATGGGTGTGTCAGCGTCTTCGCGGGTATTGGACAAAATCCAGAAGGTCTGTTCGTGGCCGGAGCGTTGTTGTTGATGTACTCGATGCCAGCCAGCACGCTTTCATCGGTGGTGGACCAAGACGAAGAGGCTGATCCTTGCAAAGGCTGGGACTGTTGCTTGGTCACAACCCACCAGGGAACTTGCGAGAGACTGGATGGCTTTTTTCACTGCCCACGGTTGGCCAGCTGTGTACCCTGAGCAAGCCTAGTAGGAAGAGGAGATTGGAAGTAGATGACATTCAGGACGTCCAGCCGGCCATCTTGCAAGTTGTTGATGATGATGTCCATCTTAGCACCAGGAGGGAGAGGGTTTCCAGGCACCTTCAATGGATCTGGTAGCGCGTCAAAACGTTGTTGAGTGACTGCATCAAGCACACCCGCGAGACCTCCAAACTCAGGAATTCCCAAATAGGCATCGAAGAGCACGGCCACAGACTTGACCCCCCCGAGCTTGCGACAAGCCCCATCGAGGAATGGGTTAAAGCCCATCAGTGTTGAGAAGTCGCTGTGGGTTGGGAAGCACGTTGCACCGCCAGTGCTTACCACCCACCCCTGCCATAGCCTCATCCAGGTTTCGGGCGGTCATCTGTCAGAAGCTCGGGTTAACTGTGCGATTGTGTGACAAATTTAAGATGACTCCACGCAGTGATCTTGCTCAATGCTTATGCTGGCTGTGTTCTTGAGACTGGCAGACTGACAGACACAGACCAGATGGCTAGTTAGACAATTTGAGGCAACACATACACACGGCAGAGCTGGCGCATGCGAATGGGCTCAGATCCCCTTGCTGAAATTTTCGCGGGGCCTCATAAAACTTGTGTCCGACATCACCCAATGACTCTCCCTTAGAAGATGTGCGATTCTGAGTATTTTCTCCATAGGCATTTCATCTCTATGCTACAACGCCTCGCTACATCTCACGCTTTCTCTTCTTGGCCTTGCGCAGGTCATGCCTCAAGTTGTCGATTGTGATCTCATGCTCTTGGATTGGCCTCTAACAGCTCAATGCGATCAGTGGCGTCAGCCATGTTCTCTGCGAGGTCATCAAGCTCGTCGTAGCTGGTGGACACATCGATGTAGACCGGATGCGCCTCGATGGGATGCGGGCAGCCTTGGCCACGATCAACTCTGCGTCGAAGCCTCGTTGGGAGACGCAGGCCTGTCCTCACTCTCGGAAGACGATGAGTCAGACGACGTGTCCGAGGCACTTGCCAAGCCCGCCTTCTCCACAATGACGGGTTTGGCTGCTGGCTCTAGGACTGCTGGCTCTGGGACAGCTGGCTCTGGGACTGCTGACCTGGGCGTGTCCACGATTGCCAGCACAGCTGATGCTTGCCGAGACGCTGGTCTGCATCTGCGTACCAATCTCCCCGAGCACCTGGCGTGATGAGCATGACTCACTGGAAATTGCCCATTGCGTGGGTCGCATCTTGGCAATTTTGAATGATCTGGGTGCCGGTGGCCTGGAACTTCGATTTCGAACTAGGTCTTTGCATCTACTTACGACGTCTACGACAAGAACATCGCTGTCCCCTTCGACCAGTGTCACTTGCAGCCGCAAACAATTGTCGGAGCGTTCTACGCGTCCCGCGATTTAGCGCCAGTGTCTCTTGGACCAAACACACCGTAGCTGTGAGAATTTTTTATATGCGCAGGCCAGGCTCATGCTGAATTCGATCAACTCAGGTGACTCAGGTGCACCAGAAAGGTTCTCGGATCACGAGTAAAGACCGAGCGTGGGACCTCGAACTGCTCCGCGGCAGTGCCTGCCAAGACTGAGCCAGGGGACGTCTATCTTCCATTCCAGAGTGTGCGTGTGAGACAAAGCAAGACACATGTTCCCGAGATTTCTGCAAGCAGCGCTAGACTCAGCCAACGCTGGGCGCTGACAGGCTTGAAGGCAACCCCCTTCAACATCAGAATTGGGCTCGCGCGGGGCTTCATGGAGATCATCAGATCATTCTCATGGCGCCGGTTTGTGGACCATGGTCAAACATCCAGAAAGACCGGTGAAAGCGCCACCTTCTTGGTTGTGAATTCGTGGCGTCTATAGCCAGGTTCCAACTGAAGCGGCGAAGCATCAAGACACTGGCGTCTGAACTGCGTGCAGGAGTTGTTCGCGCCAGGTGTTTTTAGACTACGAGAACAATCCGACTAGCGCAGAGCAGAGACAGCAGCAGCCTGGCAGGTTGCCTGTTTCACACTGAGAAAGGATCATGTTACGACCGTGCCTTCCAGTGCGGAAAGACTGAGGCGCAGATAGATGCAAGAATGGACTGACTACAGCCAGAGGTTTGAGCGCAAGAGCTACAACAACAGCTGGAACTGGCGATGATCCCAACTGCGGACCGAGAGCCCAAAAAATGTTTCTCAATGAATGAATGAATGAATGAATGAATGAATGAATGAATGAATGAATGAATGAATGAATGAATGAATGAATGAATGGATGGATGGATGGATGGATGGATGGATTAATGAAATGAAATGAAATGAAATGAATGAATGAAATGAAATGAAATGAAATGAAATGAAATGAAATGAAATGAAATGAAATGAAATGAAATGAAATGAAATGAAATGAAGTGAAATGAAGTGAAATGAAATGAAATGAAACGAGTTGAAATGAATGAGTGAATGAATGAATGAATGAACGAACGAACGCACGAACGAACGAACGAATGAATGAATGAATGAATGAAAGAAATGAAATGAAAGCAATGAAATGAAATGAAGTGAAATGAAATGAAATGAAGTGAAATGAAATGAATGAATGAATGGTGATGCAACGGATCGGATGTGGAACTCCGACGCTCCACGGTACAATCTGCCGACATAGATGCAACCTCGACGTCCAATTGCCTGTCCCATGCTTTCCAGACGTTGGTCTTTGCCTAGAAGGATATTTCTGATGAGGCGAGCGGGTCATAATTTGACACCGTCTTAGACAGCAATGCATCAAGGGTCAGAGCAAAGTTTCAAGAGAGGCACAGGCTACGAAAACTTTGCATTTGGAATAGAAATGGCGACGACGCACGAACGTCGACGTTGAAGATCAAAAGAAAGTGGTGTTTGTTTGTGCGCCGCGTTTTTTCAGCGACTTGATCCGCACGCAATCTTACGTTTCACGTACATTTCGGCCCAAGGCCCTCTTGCTTCTGCGTACAGTATCCGTGTCACAGAAAGATCAGGACGACACCGTGGCGCGAGCGTTGAGTTCGGGACACAGGGGCCGGTTTCTCATCTTTTGCCCCGCCCTCGCCCCCAAGATTCTCTTTGGGGTGTGCGGGGGCCTTGGGGCTTGGCTGTGGCTGGCCCAGGCGGAGCTGGGAGAGGAGCCGGCCGTGGAAGCTTGCCTGAGAGCCGCGGAGGTGGGAGTGCTGGGGCCCTTTGCAGATGCCGAAGCCTTCTACCGTGGAGTTTCTCCACGGCCGGAGGCGCAGCAAGATAAGGACGAGATTCTTGCAGCGCAGCAAGCCCTCCACAAGAACCCTGGCCTCTACGACATGGTCGCATACCAAATTATGCTCCCGCATATGAAGCCAGACGTGGTCTGCCTCCCAGAAACGGCGGAGTAGACAGTAAACAGGAGCAACTAGAGCACTTCTAAGTTGTCTGCCTTTCCTTGCGGGCTTGGAGCCGTAAGTGCTCGCAGGCCACGCCCGCCATACCGAAGGTGTGGAAAGGCGGTGCACCAGCCACATGTCAGAAGGCAGTTTTAATTACCTCTCACTCGCCAAAGCTTTCAGTAAGTCAGAGCTGTAGTCGCTTTGTAAAAAGCAGGGGTAGATTGTGAAGAGGGGTAAGCACCTCTATTCAGCCTACGCTCCCCGCTGCATTTGACAGTCCGAAGTGGCCCAAGTGGCCCAGATGGCCTTGAAAGGCGCGCTTGTGGCGAGGGGCCCGCCTTTTGACTTCCAAGGTGGACCCTTTCCCCGCCATGCCGCCTCTCCGTAACCTTTTGGGGCTCTGGGCCTTTCTTGCAATTTCAGGAACAGCGAGCAAAGTGGGAGGCGCCGGTTATGATGTGTCCGCGGACTGCCACAGTTGCTACAGCAGTGACGCTGGCAATGTCACTGCTGTGGAGCTCCTGCAGACGCATGTTGACTTGTCCAGCAATGGCGCACAGCACGCCCCCTTTGCCCCCGTCAAGGAATGGACGACATCGCCAAAGGTGCTCCGCGTAAGTGGCGGCATCCTCCTCGTGTGCCTTCTGTTTGTCTTGGGCTTCGGCAGCACGGACATCCTTGTGGGTGTGGCAGTTTTTCTGGATTTATTTATGACAACCGTCCTCACCCCTCTGGCGCCGACGCTCACGGCGGACTACCAGCTCATAGCCCTTCTTACAAGCTCAAAGAACATTGTGACTTGCCTGATTGCGCCCTTCACTGGTCGCTTCATTGACGGAAATGAAGCCAAGTCCATGCAGCTTGGGATGCTGTGCGCGATGTTTTGCACGCTGAGCTTGGCGGCGGCAACTCGGTTGCAGATCCTAGCAGAGCACGGCTTCTTCTCATACCCATTAACCCATTCCACCCATTCATACATTTCATGCACATTGCGTCACACTGCCCCCTGAAGCCCTCGGCTCTCAAGGCCGTCAAGGCCGCAGTCCCACCCTCTCCTCTGAACCTTGTGGCAGGGCATAATGCGTAGAATGTGACCGAGCTCCTTGTAACGTCAATCTCTGATTGATCCTTTCACATTCGAACATTTGAAGTATTGACCACATTTAGACGGAAGTATTTGCAAGCATGTTTTCCAGTTTCTTGTTCGCCTGCGTTCCATTCCCTTTCATTTTTCTATTTCCTTTTTCATTCCCTTTTCCCCCTTTTTCTCTTGCGATACAGTACTTACATGTCCTCTCCATTCCTTTCAATTCCTTTCCATTCCTTTCCATTCCTTTCCATTTCTGTTCCATTTTCTGCAGTGTCCCTCCCATTTCCCCATTTCCCTTCCAAGTTCAAAATTAGAAGTTCTCCAATTTTTAGAGCATCTGGCTGGTGGGATCCCTTGTTTTTTGGAATGTTTAGAACTTTTAGAATTGAACTATTGGAATTCTCAAAATCGGGGTCTGATTTTTTGAATTTTCAGAACTTTGGGATTCTGGCTGGCGGGTGGCAGGTGGGCTGTCGGTCTTTGGAAGCCGGAGGTCTAAACATTCACTTCTAGTTCTAAAAGCCAGGGGTCCCAGCGACTCACAGCCATTCTAAAAAGCCAGTTAAATTTCAGACTCGGTTTTTATATGTCTTAGAATTCAATTTTACAAACTCTAAATCGTCTATATTTCGGCCCCTTCTAACAATTAATTTTTCACCCGCCCTCCCCCCCTGCCGTTTTGTGAACTTTCAACTGAATTCTCAAAATTGAAAAAAAGAGAAAGCGCCGAGGGTCTGAAATTTAGATGTTTAGGTTGAACAAAGAAACAACAAAACATTCTAAGTTTTGGACCCCGATTTTAGATGTTTGCTTGAATTCAAATCTCACAAGTCTAAGAATACTTTTTACAGACCTCAGGAGTCCATTTCAATTAAACAAACATCGCGCCCCCCCTGCTTCCTGGAGATGAACACTGTAGATGGCATGGGCGGTACGATTTTCACACAAAGCGGTGCGTAGTGACCTGTTCCCGCTTGCAAGGTGAAGGATTACTGGTTCTGGCTGGCAGTGCGGTGCCTCAGCGGATGCTCGACGGTGGCTTGGCTGACTCCTTAGCTGACTTCAGCATGGCTGCTGAAGTCAGAGTGGTCCTTTTTGGCACCTTCAAAAGGAAACCAACAGTTTTAGGTGTGCCAGTCATTTTCCTCAAACAGGTAGTTCAAAAAGGGCCGCCCTGGCTGAAGTACGTTTCCATACCTCGCCCCAGCTGTAGTCCACACAGTTCCCAAAGTGACAGCTGCGCCGTGGTGTCCAAGCTGTAGCGCAACGTGGGCTGAATGGATCCTGAAAAATATCCCCGAACGGTCAGGCGTGACAGGGAGGTGGTGCTCTCTTTTCCGGCTGCGCAGGGCTGTTCTCTATATGATATCAAGCCACCAGAGATCCGTGTCAAATCAGACACAGAAACTCTTTCCCTAGCATGTTGGCCCCTGAATTATCCATCAAATGCGACTAGATTAAGCTTAGCAAAAGGAGAAGCCTGTTTGACAAAAGCTACATGTTTGAAGCTGGCAGCCTTGTCGATCCATGTAAGGTTACGAAACTAATCTTGTAGAGCACGGCTACTTAGTTCGCAACAGTTGGACCAACGCTAGTGCGGCTGCCAACAGCGCCGGACCATCTGTGGCCACGTCAGTCGCCTTCTTACCAACCACGCCAGTGCGTGTCGTGGGACGCCGAGGCCGGAGTTCAGGTTGTCGATCTGGAGCAGAAAGGCGGTAAAGCTCATCTTTCTCCATTTCATCTGAGCAGCGAGCGGCCTGCGGTAGCTTCTTGCCCAGAGCATGTCGATCGGCTCAAGGTACTTCGCCGGCTCATGTTCAGCCACCGGCAGGTCGCGTGGGAACTCGCTAGCTTGTTCACGGTCGTAGTGGTTCTGTCCCAGTGCAGCGTGTGGCCGAGAAGGCAATCGATCATGCCACGCCCCGGCTTCGTGGCGTGCTTCAAAGCTCGTCCTTCACGCAGTTGCCGCCGCTATCCGGCTAGAGCCTCCTGAATTGCACTGGCAATGATGGAAGTGTAAGGGTCGATCGTGCGCTGCAAATTGAACAGCCTGTTAGCGGCGAGAGTACCGTCCTCGGAAAGGTGTAGGTCCAGCAAGAATGTAGGGGACGGGCCGAGAGTCTCTCAGACCCCCTTGGAGCTTGCGTATGGGCGAAGATCAGCAGGTCTCATGCGCGTTGATGTGGCAGCACCCACGCAATTGGGGGCTACTGCAGTTCAAATCAAATTTGTGAAAGAAGCCCAACAGTCACAAACATCAAGAGAGATCTCACGCAGAATCTCTGAATGCTTCGCCAGCGCAAACCCAAGATTCGCCCATGATGGAAGCAAGGGCGGCGTACGGTTGAAGAGCAAAGTCATTTGCTTGGAAGGAACCCTGGTCCGGACAACCAAATTGTGCAAGGTCCACGCCACGAAGGTCCGAGCAAAGAGGCGGTTTCACCTGAGAAACCAAGAGTCTATCTTTTGCTACCTGGTGAGAGGGAAACGCTTCAGCAAGACCCTGATGCAAGCAGTGTCCCAGCCTCGTTTGATTGTGCGCGTGCCTGCGTTTTGGTGGAGCTTGTGATTTTAAATTGCTTGGTTTTTGGGTGCTCTCCTTGTTCCGCGTAGTTTAATGATTGAAACGTTGGCAGGTCGCAGATCGCAAAGCCCGTAAATCCGTTGACTCTTGGAATCCACTGAAGGCTGGAGCTACTCAGGATCCGAGGCTACGTCCCCCGTTATTTGTAACGCTCGGCAGGCTTGCACGACTGTTTGTCCGGCTCTATAGTGAAGAGTATGCAAGGGCCCCTCTTTGTTCTTGTCGGATTGCTGCAACTCTTTCGTTTGAGTCTTCGAAAACCTTACAGCATGGACTTCTGGCTGCCTCTTGCTGTCGCCCGCGCAATAGGACTGCGTGTAACCAACCTGGCCGCTGTGATTGCATGCTGCCGCAGCTGCAGACCCAAAGGCAAGCGCGTCCGGCTTGCTGCTTTGGGCTTTGTTCTGCTCAGGCTCACTCGCGCGGGACAGACTGTCCAGCAGGGGTGCACCGCTGAAGAGAGAGAGTCCGGTGGCTGGGTCTCGAGCCGGAAAATCAACTACAATAGTCCGACCTGGCCCATCTTCTCGCTGCAGCACAAATGCTTCTTTCGCACTGGATTTGGAACGACAAGCTTCTTCGCGCCCGTGTCATTCTCGTAAAGATGCCTGAAAGTCGCGCCGTCTGCGTCCGTCAATCCCGCTCCATGATCAAGATGTAGGTCGGCAGCGTGGTCGGCCGAAGCTGCCGGGAGCAGACGCATCTGAGCCTGACTCTGCTCGGGTTGAGTCACTGGCGCATCATGGCGCGTTGCCGTTCTTGCATGATTGCGCGTGACAGTTCTTCTTGCACAGTCTGCAGTGACACATATTTTGGAACAGCTTCTTCTTGAGAAACCCGTTTGACCCGTCGGTCAATAGACTCGAGACGGTCTGCTAAAGGCCTCAGACAATCACCGCTCCCTCACCCCCTCTCCACGGGATCTTCTTGGTAGATAAAGGCGGTTGACGAAGCAGTGTCTCAGCGAGGCCGGTGAATTTTTGGCTTTCCCATGCCTCCCATGCCATGGCCGTGCATATTTAGATGAGTCGCATCTGACGAAACCATCCTGGGAATTGTGGCAGGATAGTATCAAGCCACTGCTGCGCGTCGCAGGCCTTGCTACATTGCTGAAAAGGACCAACGCAAGCAAAACCGTATCACCCCTCCCCCTGCACTGAGGCGGCGACCGTTTGGGGCGGCTTCGCCCTGCTCAACCAAGTGCATTCCGACGAGGCAAAATCAACTTGGGGAAGGTTCTGCTTTTTCCTGCCTTGCTTGCGCTGATGTCCAAGGTTGATTTGATGGTGTTTGTCATGTTTCTGTTGTTTTAATGTTCTGTTTTTTGAAGTTGTTTTGGGGAAACACTCAGTTCTCTCGCCATCTGATTCGGCGGGAAGGCCGCAGCGCGCACGAGAGCCATGTCCACGGCCACGGTCAGCCTCTACGCCGGGGTCATCCTGGGCCCGCAGGCTCCAGTATGGGCCACGCCAAAGACCCGCAGAAATTCCAAGCTTCCAATTCTCTTCTGCCATCCAATCCAAGTGCCGGAATATAGACGGGGATAATTACGATCGGATGTCCAAAATTTATGGGCCGTTTGCGATCTTAGTCCTGAAATCTAAATGCCGGTATTTGGATTTCTACACACTGGTAATTGTTTTAGATTTCTAAATACCGGTGTTTAGATCCAGGACCCAATACAGATTTGCGGGGGACTTCCTGAAATCTACATACCGGTAATTAGACATTTAAACAAGGCGGTAGTTGGCGGGGATGCAGCTTTGACGGTTACGGAGTTGTTTGAAGGTTGAGTACAGTGGCATTGGCAGCCGGCGGCAGGGATGTTTTGGGATCCAAATGTCTTTGGCTTATGTTCGGACGCGCATGCGCTTGAGCTTCGACAAAACACGTCAGCCTTACGGGTAGGGTTACGCTCGCCTGGGCTCGAGGCCACCAGCGCAGGATAAGCCTAAGCAACTTAATGAGGTAACCAAACAGGACATCCAAGAACTTTGCAAATAGTGGCCAGAAACTAGTAGGGGGGTGTCAAAAATATACATCCGGTTTTGATTTGCTTCTTTGATCTGCCCATATCTGCCCTGAAGGCTGGAGGCTTGTTTGTTGATGACTCCGGCTTTCTTTTCCTCCTCCTCTCGGGCGCGCAACTGTGTACACTTTTCATGCTGCTCTTCCGGCTGCCAGACCTGTCGCAGCAGAAGCAGACGCAGACCGACCATGCAGTGCTCCAGACGCCCCATAGTAAAACTTTTTTCCCAAGGTTGGCGACAAAACCTGTGAGTGTGCGTCCGAGAGTGTTTTCTTTGTGCGTCTCCGGGAGTTCTGACTTGGCCTGCCTAGGACTTCCTGTCACCCAGATTTGTTTGATATTGATGTTGGACCTTCCGAGACTGTTCTAAGTCTAAACATTGCAGGCGAAGGTCGGGATGATGAGCCTGATCATGGACCCAGATGTGCGAAATCCAATTATTGCTTTGTTCTTAGCCTTGGCCTTCATTGCAGCGCTGGGTTCCACAGCTTTTGAGCACATGGTCCGCTTGGGGTATGGCCAGATGAAGCAGAACCTCACATGGCTCCTGAGCTCGGTTCCAGCCATCCTCTTCGCGTGCCTTGTCCCAGCGCTTCGATCTCTCGTTGAAGGCCAGACGCTGCAGATTCTCGCGATGTTCCTGGGCGGCGCCAGCGCTTTGCTGTGTTTCGGCTCGAACTACATCTTGCTTGCGCTTGCGCTGTTTGGCGCGAGTGTCGCGGCCGGGATCGTGGACGGAAACACACCGGCCATGCTGGCCGATCGGAGCCAGGAGAAGTATGGCGGGACGACTCCTCAGTTGTGCAAGGGGACTATCCGTGATTATTTCACGGGCGATGCTGGTATCTCCCTACACTCCCTAACTGTATGCGCATCTGAGAGCAAGCCTTGTCACTACATGAACGTGTTTGAGCCCCCCTCCTTTCGCTGCGTGGGGTTGAGCTTTTCACAAAGCTAAAGTTGGAATGACTAATGGTAACATGGTTGCATTTTAGTTCTTGCAAGAGCCGTAAGTGTAAGCCCTTGGCGCGAAACACCTGACACACTTCGACGTGCGAAGCGACAAAGCCACCGAAGAAAAACGTGGCGTTGTGCGTCGTGGTGAAGGCGCAGCGTTCCAAGACAGCAAGATAGCAGTTTTCAGCCTTAGCTACGTGTCCACACTTGCCCACACCTCCCTGAAGCCACAATTCCCAACGTGCCAGCCCACAGTTTCCGGCGCTTTGCAACAAGTCCACACCTTTCCAAACCTATAGTTTGCAGCGTTAGCGCAATGCTCGATCCCTTTGTAGCCTTCAGAGAAGGCTCTTCCAGCGTCTACACGCACGCAGCTGCCAGCGTAGTCGCATCTTCTGACTGTTCACCAGTTTGTTGCCCCCCCGCAAAAGCTCAAACCTCGAACGCTGAAGTAACGAAAGTTTTGTGGGTGAAATTTTAGGACCCCGAGCAAATTGAATGCAGTGTGTTGGGTGACCATTGTATTATATCCGCCGAAAGATCGGCGATGGAGTTTGCGAAGGAAGCTTTTGTTCCCTTCCACGAAAGATTCCCCGTCGGGTTCTTGGAGGCATCCCCAGCAAGCGCAAGTGACTGCTTTCACTTGACGCAGCTGCAAGCCTGCCAGCGCAAGCGAATTGCCTTTACTGTGTTTGCGAGTATAACTGCAGCAGCCGCGAAAGATTTGTGAAAGAAACTGTGTTCTCGCGAAGATAACATTTTCAAAAACAGAAAGATTGATCAACTGCCACGTGTTGTTGTTTCCAGTAGAAACGAGGCGCGTCGACCATGTGTGCTTTACAAAACTGGTCTGGATCTACGCGTTGGTGCTTTCACTCGTGGGACCGTGACAGCCTTAACAACATCTCACCCTTCACCCTGTCCAGACTTCCTGATTTTTCCCTCGATTCTCGGTAACGCATGTAGTCGCGAAAGACCAGTCTCAAGTTGCGTGCTAGAAGTCTGAGTACTGTTTCTTTTACTGGGAAAATATTAAGGATAAAAAGACAACAAAAGAGACAGAAAGATAAGGAAGGTGCCAAAACATACACAAGAGGGGGAAAAGATAGCAAATATAGAACAAGATAGTAGAAGATAAAATGTCGTACGAAATCGTCAGACTTAGCATCAGTATGAGCATCCTGGAACAACATAATAGTGCACAACAAACAAACGCTGGCAGAGACAAAGTAGCCAGCGTCCTGGAGCAGTGTGGCAGTGATTGTTGAAAGGGTACGCGACGACGCCATGACGGATACTCATTAATTTCCTCGTTACGTACCCACGTAACAAGATCCGCTTGCTCGTTGTGCACGCCCTCGTTACACACCTTCGTTGCACACCTTCGTTGCACACCTTCGTTGCACACCTTCGTTGCACACCTTCGTTGCACACCTTCGTTGCACACCTTCGTTACCTTCGTCGCCGTTTCACACCTTCTTACCTTTGTCGCACGCCTGCGTTAGACACCTTTCGTTACGCACCGTACATTTTCGAGCCGCCTACTTAATTACATCCCCCTCGTTGCACACCCAGACACGCGCCCAGAGTTTGCATTTGGACAGCTGCGCAATAAGTAGGTGTTTGAACTTTCTGAATTCCTTAAGGGAAGAAGCCCCACATTGGGGAATCAGGATTTGACCTTTTCGAAGTTTTTTGAAATCGCGCAAGTAAAGAAACATCACTTTTGAGATTCGTTCTGAACTTTTTGAACTCCCCACTTTTGGGGCCCGGGGTTGCAAACTTTTCAATGTTTGGAACTTCCCAAGTACAGAAACATCACTGTTGGGGGGCCTGGGATTTTCAACCTTTTCATGTTTTTTGTTTTGTTGTCTGTGGCTGCCATTTTCTTTGCGCAGCTAAACTTTTTCAGGGCTGCTTTTTGTGAAGTGAAGTTTTTCGTTGGGCTTCCCAGTTTGCTTGTTTTGTGTGGCTCTCGTTTTTGCTGCGCGGCTGGCTTTTTTGAGGGCCCGTCACTGGCCTGCTTGGTCGGGATGCTTTTTCTTTTTGTGAAGCGGGATCTTTTTTTCTTGTTGCCCATGGCTGCAATCCCTTTGGTGCAGTTGGATCTTTTCAGGGCCTGTCGCTGGCATGCTTCGTCGGGCTGCTGATTTTCTCACATTGGGATGTTTTTGTAGGGTGTGATTTGTTTGTTGTCCACGGCGGCGGGTTCTCTGTAATCTTGCTTGCGAAGAGCTGTTGCCTCAGGGAGGTGGGCGGGACACGCCTGACACCAGGCGGTGCTCAGCACACTGAGCGGGACATGCGGGATGAGCATCATAAGCAAAACAGATATAAAAAGACAAAAACAAAAACCAAATAAACTAACAGATACAAACAAAGCTGCAAAAAGAAAAATATAAAGTCTTAAACAAAAGAACAGAACAAGATACTGTTTGAATTATTTTCCTTATCTTGTTTACCAAAGGATAGTTTCCTCAGTAGCTACTGCTAAGTGCGTTATATGCGCGGCGGAACATTATTGGGATCAACGCAGCTTTAACCCCTGATAAACCGACTTTTAGCAGCCATACTATCTCCTATTTCCAGGCCTTCTGGCTGCAAGCCTTCTTAGTGGCATCCCCTGCCAGAGCTGAGGACGGGCCAGGTGTTCGTTCTGTCCAATGTGGCTGATCAGATCGCTTTCGTTTTGGGCCCTGCTGCAGGCAGCATCGTTTGCCAGCACGCAAGCTTTCACGTCATGTGCCAAAGCTTTGGCGCGTGCATGGTGCTGTATGCTTTGTTCTTGTCCCTGTTGACTTTGATGGAAAAGACACCGATTTCTAAATCTGGAAAGGACACAGGTGTGCCTTCTGAAGCCCCCAGTACAAAGTGATTGCTGCCACACTCTTGGAACAAAGAGTGACGCGACAACTGAAGATTTGCATGCGTAGCATCGTAGCATGCAGTGATGCAGCTAGTCATGCAACTTGCTTGCCTTTCACAGAACTCAGCGGATCAAGAGTTCTGCCATTCCCTGCTTTGGCTGGCTTGGAGCCGTACGCGCGCAAGCCTAAATGTGGCGCACCGGACGCAGAAGTTCCCTCGCTGCAGAAATAGTTCTTGCGCCTTTGCCAGCACTCTGCTACATGCGGCCAAGATGGTGACGGATGTCGCAGTCCTAGGCAGTCAAAGGCCCGCGCCGCTCAGGGTGGAGGCCAGCTTTCGAAGGTTGCAACCCATTGCGATGACAAGTCTGACAAGTCTCACAAGTGAGGAAACATTTTGGGGTCTCTTCCCAAGCCATGGCCTTCAGCGCGCGCTTTGCGCTCGGGGGCTTGGGCCTCGCAGTGGCCTACGGTGCCTTCCACAGGTGGATCTGGGTCTGCCAATTCCGGGCGATGCCCGCGAACCGGGGCCCCTTCCCCAGGCGTGAGGGGGGAAGTTGGAGAGAAAGAGGGGCGATGAAAACAGACGAGTGAAAAGGGGGCAGAGCCCGACGCCCTCCAACGTTGCAAAAAGGACTGCGGAACCCACACCACACTGATGCAGTCGCGTGGGAAACCATCATGTGCAGTTCAACTATTGGTCATTTCCGATTCACGCAGGGGCACTTGTTTGGGCCCATTTTGTCGAGGATGCGCATTTTGTTCCCTGCTCCTCTTCGTGACTGACGGTGACGTTTCTAAGCCAACTTGCCAGGAGTTTTCCAAATGAAATCATGTTCCAAGCTCACACTGCCGAACGGTGTGCCCCAATGGCCGTCATGTTTACCCCCAAAGAGACCCTCCCGAATTGAAGCATGGAAGCTCCTTAGAGGGTCGTCAATCAGGACGTACTTGTCAAAGCTGCGTTTCGTCACGAATCAGCAGAAACCCGATTTCAACAACATACTCGCACATGTCAGCTATGTTTCGCTTTTGAGCAGAAGGACAGATCAATTTGACGTTGCAGGTTGAGAAACCACGGGGCTGTTGCACACCTCTTTTCAAGTTGTTTAGCCCCCCCCCCCCCAGCACAGGCCTTGGCGCATGCTCTCCGCGCATGCGCTGACGCTGAGGCGGGCCGGCTTGGCTGCAAGGAAGCCTTCGCAGTTGCGGGGTGTAGAGGCTGTTGAGAACACCAACGAATCCCTTCCCCGCAATAAAAAAAGCACATGTTTACATAGCAACCTGTTCTTAAGGAATCCAAAGCTGGTGTTGGGAAACTCAGCAGATGCATCGCTGAGCTGGCTACAGCTGAGATGGATTGGTCCTTCGCCCTCTTCGGGGGAGCGTACTGCCACACGCAAACGTGCAGTGCGGTTTGAATGATCCACAGATGACACTCACGCACAGCCAAACTTGCAAGTGGCAGTGGCTAACCATCAACACCCCTTTTCCTGGTTTGGAGCGCCACGTAGACTGGGGTAAATCCCAATCTAGCCACTATTAATATATATATATATACACATGTATCAACATATATATATATATATGCATATAACTAATGGTAAAATGTGAGCCGACTCTTTTTTCAGCACTTGCCACTTGATTTGCGCCAAAAATGGGTAGCGGCCGCACAGACTTGCACGGTCAGGTCAATCCGGAAATTAATTCCAATTCAACATTTTACTTATCTCGTTTTTATGTTTGTGTTTCTCAGCTCTTGGTATGTCTCCTTTCTTTGGATTATTGACGCCATGAAATTCAGAAGTCTCACAATTAGAGCAAGACAAAGACACGACAGCTGCAGATTATAGACCCTTCTAGATTACCACGATGGATTTCTTATCTCTTTCTCATTTTCCTTTATCACCCCCGCTCTTTTCTTGGAAGCAGAGGTTGGGTGACGGGAGGTAGAGACAGGAGAGAAGGTGCGAGAGGAAAGACCCATTGGCCATGGCACGCTGTCTCCCGGGAGATGATCAGGATGGTAGCAGATGGGAAGAGATGGGTGGGTGAAGGCAACTTTCTCACTCTTTCGTGCTAAGCTCTTTCTCTTTTCCAAAAGTAGCTGTGTGTGGGATTGAGGCTTGACATGTCTCTCACTTACAGCATAGAATGGTGGTTGGGTGAAAGGATGGATTCCTTTGTTTCTCACGGTCGTTCTCTTCGACCATAAGATACAGCTCTGGAAATAATTTTGAGTAATATCTAATTTTCTATCATATGGCCTGTCATGTAGAGCCAATTAAAAATCACCATGAAAATAGTTAAGCGTCCTCTAGAAAGAGACAGAGATAGGATGGCAATATGCAGACGGTCGCCAAAATGAACTACATTGGGATGTGAACGCAGGTGGGGTAATTTTCTTCCTTCCCCTCACCGCTCTATCATGGACGAGGGAAGGAGATAGATATGAGATGTGTGGTGTAGAGGCTTGACATGTCTTTCACCTACAGCGTAGAACGGTGGTTGGGTGAAAGGATGGACTCTTTCTTCTCTCACAGTCATTCTCTTCCCGCTGCAACCAGAAGATTCTCTTCCCGCTGCAACCAGAAGACAAAGCTCTGGAAATCAGAAAGGTAGGAAAGGCCAGAAATTCTACAGATAGAGGTATACAATATGAAATTATACAGGCGAGGAGAGAGGTGGCTCTTTTCCCATCTTTTCACTCTGGTATCTCTTCGTTCATCAATCCGTCTTTATTACCAAAATCTAAAGTCTCATTTGATCTCGGACGGCCTGTTGATTTAGAATCCAATTAAAAAGCACCATGAAAATAGTTAAGCCTCCTCTAGAGAGAGACAGAGATAGGATAGTAATATGAAACGGATTCTATGTCAACAGAAAATAGACATGATATCAGACGGTCGCCAAAATGAACGACATTGGGATGTGAAGGAAGGTGGGGTTCATTTTCTTCCTTTCCCTCACCGCTCTATCATGGACGAGGGAAGGATAGATATGAGATAATATTATGAAAACAGAGTGAATAAATTTTGAAATTATGGAAACCATTGCAGTTATAGTTTCAATAATTTCATAAATTCCAACAAAAAACGAGCTATTTTAAGGAATTATTCAAAGTATTTAAGGGCTGCCGCGCAGTGTGCAGAAGGATTCCATGTGAAAACCGGACCCTGTCTTTGAAACCGCCTAGTCTGCAGCAGTCATGCGGACCACGTAATGAGGATGATGATGATGACGATGACGGTGACGATGACGCTGAAGTTGATGATGACGGCGAAGATGATGATGATGATGATGATGATGATGATGATGATGATGATGATGATGATGATGATGATGATGGTGATGGTGATGGTGATGGTGATGGTGATGAAGGATGATTGATGACGATGATTGTGATGATGGACAGAATCCTGCAAGGGCAAAATTCTCGTTCACGCAGGGTCCTGCACGGACAAAATTGTCCAAGCAAAGCCCGGCGCAGATGATGGCGGATGATGATGGATGATGATGATGATGAGAACGAGCAATGATGGCGATGTTGATGATCATCACGATCCCATGCTGCTGATGATGGTGGTAGATGGTGATGGAGGATGATGAAGGATGATGATGGATGATGGTCATGGATGATGATGGTGACGATGTTGATGGATGGTGATGATGATGGATGATAATGAGACAGAAGAAAATTGCCCGTGGTCATCAGTGATGATGCTGATGACAGCCATGGTGATAATTGTCGCTATGCTGCGGGTCAGGCCGGGTCTAGCGGCACACTTCAAACGTGCGCCAAGAAATGGAAAGGGCAGTAACGATTGGCTGTCATTATCATCATCATCATCATCATCATCATCATCATCATCATCATCATCATCGCTGATGTTGGCGTCGAGTAGTGACGATTATCATCATCCCTGCTGGTGATGTTGGGGATGCGTAGTGATGGTTCGTCACCAGCATCATCCTATCCATCATCATCGTCGTCCGTATCCTTTTTGATACGATGATGAATCATCGCTAGGCTTCCCGACATCACCAGCAGGGATGCGGAGAATCATCGCTACGCGTGCGCAGCATCACCAGCTGTCGCAATGATCATGATGACCACGCGTCCCCAGCATCTCCAGTCACCATCGTCATCCTTATCTTTGTGTTTTACGTTGGGGATGCTTGTTTTTTGAGGGGATGCGACTGCATAGTGACGATTATCGTCATGGCTGTCATCATCATCATCACTGATGATGGGGATGAGCAGTCATGATTGTCATCACCCCTGCTGGTGATGTTGGGGATGCATAGTGACGTTTCATCGCGGGGATGCCTAGGGATGACTCATCATCATCATCATCGTCCTTACCTTTTTGATTTACGTTTCAATGCTCAGTTAGACCCGACTTGAGATGCAGAGCTGTCGTCATCATCACAATGCACCCCCAGTGTCATAATTATGACTACGCACTTTCAGCATCATGCTCACCAGGATGATGATGATGATGACAATGATCATGATGATGGTGATGATGATACCAACTGCGCCTACCGTGAGATCTAAAATTCATGCAGCGTCACCAACACATACCAAAAAGATAAGGACGACACGCTACTGGCAGGAACAACATAGTTTGATGGTCGCAATGATGCTGATCACAAGGATGATTTTGAGCGTGATGATGATGGTGATGATGGTGATGATCATGCCGACGGTGTCTACCAAGAGATCTAAAATCTTTGCATCGTTACCAACAGCTATACCAAAAAGATAAGGGGGACAAGCTACTGGCAGGATCAACGTAGTTTGATGGTCGCAATGATGATGATCACAAGGATGATGACGAGCGTGATGATGTTGATGATGATGCCGACGCTGCCTACCGTGAGATCTAAAATCTGTGCAGCAACACCAACACTTTGACAAAAAGATAAGGACGACAAGCTACTTGCAGGATCAACGTAGTTTGATGGTCGCAATAATGATGATCACGAGCATGATGATGATGTTGATGATGATTCCGACGGTGCCTACCGTGAGATCTCAAATTCATGCAGCGTCACCAACACCGATAGCAAAAGATAAGGACGACAAGCTACTGACGTTTGATGGTCGCCGTGATGATGAGCGCAAGGATGATGATAAGTGTGATGATGATGGTGATGGTGATGATGATGATGCCGACGGTGCCTACCATGAAATCTAAAATCTTTGCAGCGTCACCAACACCTTTACCAAAAAAGATAAGAACGACAAGCTACTGGCAGGAGCAACCTAGTCTGATGATGATCATGAGCACCATGATGATGATAATGATGATTCTGATGATGATGACGATGAGCGCCAAAATGACATGATGATGATGATGATGATGATGGTGATGATGTTGATGATGATGCCGAAGGTGCCTACCGTGAGATGTAACATCTTAGCAGCATCACCAACACCTATACCAAAAAGATAAGGACAACAAGCTACTGGCAGGATCAACATAGTTTGATGGTCGCCATGATGATGATCGCAAGGATTCTGACGAGCATGATGAGAGTGATGATGATGATAATAATGATGATGATGATGCCGACGCTGCCTACCACGAGATCTAAAATCTTTGCAGTGTCACCAACACCTATACCACAGGGGTAAGGACGACAGGCTACTGGCAGGACCAACGTAGTTTGATGGTCGCAATACTGATGATCACGAGCATGATGATGATGTTGATGATGATTCCGACGCTGCATACCATGAGGTATATCTCTTCAGTGTCACCAACACCTACACCAAAAAGATAAGGACGACAAGCTACTGGCAGGGTCAACGTAGTTGGATGGTTGCCAGAATGATGATCACGAGCATGATGATGAGTGTGATGTTGATGATGATGATGATGATGATAATTCCGACAGTGCCTACCGTGAGATCTCAAATTCATGCAGCGTCACCAACACCGATAGCAAAAGATAAGGACGACAAGCTACTGACGTTTGATGGTCGCCGTGATGATGAGCGCAAGGATGATGATAAGTGTGATGATGATGGTGATGGTGATGATGATGATGCCGACGGTGCCTACCATGAAATCTAAAATCTTTGCAGCGTCACCAACACCTTTACCAAAAAAGATAAGGACGACAAGCTACTGGCAGGAGCAACCTAGTCTGATGATGATCATGAGCACCATGATGATGATAATGATGATTCTGATGATGATGGCGATGAGCGCCAAAATGAGATGATGATGGTGATGATGTTGATGATGCTGCCGAAGGTGCCTACCGTGAGATGTAACATCTTAGCAGCATCACCAACACCTATACCAAAAAGATAAGGACAACAAGCTACTGGCAGGATCAACATAGTTTGATGGTCGCCATGATGATGATCGCAAGGATTCTGACGAGCATGATGAGGGTGATGATGATGATAATAATGATGACCATGATGCCGACGCTGCCTACCACGAGATCTAAAATCTTTGCAGTGTCACCAACACCTATACCAAAAGGGTAAGGACGACAAGCTACTCGCAGGACCAACGTAGTTTGATGGTCGCAATAATGATGATCACGAGCATGATGATGATGACGAAGATGATGGTTCCGACGGTGCCTACTGTGAGATCCAAAATCTTTGCAGCGTCACCAACACCAATACCAAAAAGATAAGGACGACAAGCTACTGACGTTTGATGGTCGCCTTGATGATGATCACAAGGATGATGATGAGTGTGATGATGATGGTGATGATGATGCCGACAGCGCCTACCGCGAGATCTGAAATCTATGCAGCGCCAGCAACACCGATACCAACAAATAAGGGCGACAAGCTACTGGCAGGATCAACCTAGTGTGATGCTGACCATGATGATGATCATGATGATGATGATGATGATGATGACGATGAGCGCGATGATGAGATGATGTTTACGATGGTGATGATGGTGATAATGATGCCGACGGCGCCTAACGTGAGATGCAACATCTCAGCAGCGTCACCAACACCTATACAAAAAACAGATAAGGACGACAAGCTACTGGCAGGATCAACCTAGTCTGATGCTGACCATGGTGATGAGCACCATGATGATGATAAGGATGATGATGATGATGACGATGAGCGCCATGATGACAGGATGGTGATGATGGTGATAATGGTGATGATGATGGTGATGATGGTGATGATGGTGATGATGGGGATGATGGCGATGATGGTGATGATAATGCCGACGGTGCCCTACCGCGAGGTCTAAAGTCTCTGCAGCGTCACCAGCACCGATACCAAAAAGTAAGGACGACAAGCTACTGGACAGTCTGATGCTGACCATGATGATGATGATGATGACGACGATGATGAGCACCATGATGATGATGATAATCATGATGATGATGATGATGAGCGCCATGGTAAGATGATGATGATGATGGTGATGATGGTGATGATGGTGATGACAATGCCAACGGTGCCTACCGTGAGATCTAAAGCCTTTGCAGCGTCACCAACCCAAAAAGATAAGGACGACAAGCTATTGGCAGGATCAGCGTAGTTTGATGGTCGCCATGATGATGATCACAAAGATGATGACGAGCGTGATGATGATGGTGATGATGATGATGATGATGATAACGATGGTGCCGACGGTGCCTACCGTGAGATCTAAAATGTATGCAGCATCACCCTAGCCAAAAAGACAAGGACGACAAGCTACCGGCAGGGTCAACGTAGTTTGACGGTTGCCATCATGATGACCACATGGATGATGATGATGAGCGTGATGATGATGGTGACGATGATGATGATGATGATGATGACGGCGCCGACGGTGCCTACCGTGAGATGTAAAATTTTTGCAGCGTCACCAACACCTATACCAAAAAGAGCAGGACAACAAGCCACTGGCAGGATCAACGTAGTTTGATGTTCGCCATGATGATGATCATGATGATGATCACCATGATGATGAGCGCCATGATGATGATGATGATGATGATGATGATGATGATGATGATGATGACGATGACGATGATGATGATGACGCTGGCGATGAATCTTTGGTTATGCTCATGTGCCAGCCGCCCTTCCCGTGCGCCTTCCCTCCTTGGCGAAGGTAGGCGGATTTTGGGGCTGAACTCCACGGGGGATGAATTAACAGGAAATAGTTGAAATTGTTGAAATTTTATTTTCAGTAGGTTCAGAAGTTTCCAAAGAGTATCATAGTTTGAAGAGTTCGATATTATTTCACCCCTACATCATCCCGAGCCCAGTGCCAAAATAACTTCAATAATTGTGAATAATCTTTGATTCAGCCAGCTGATCCCAGCCCCACAAAATCGAGATTTTTCAGCAAAACAGCTTTTCGCTTGGACAATGTTGCACCTTAAAACAATACCACAGTTTTGTGAATTGGTTGGAACTTTTGAAATCATATCAGACTTCCAATAAGCATTCCAATAGTTCAACATAAGTCCATGCTAGCTGAGCTTCAACAAGTTGCGCAAGTTCATAAGTTCAACAAAAAGAGCTCCATTGTTGCAAGTTTTTGAAGTTATTGCAATCATAATACGCAATGCTTTCCAGAATGTCAATAATTGCAAAAAGTTCTTTCAGCTCATGAATTTCAACAATAATTGATCCGTGCGCTCGCCCCCAAAAAATAGCTTCAATAGTTTCATTAGACAATAGATTGAAAAGTGGAACTTGTTGAAAATACACGTTCAATAGTAATGTTCCATAACTCCAATAAACTAGCAAATTGGAAGGGAATTTGACAGGTTTTGAGAGAAATTTGACAGGTTTTGAGAGGAATTGACCGGTTTCTAGGAGGGTTTGACTGGGCAGGGGGAACTTGACCGGTGCTGGCGGGATTTGGCCGGAGTTGGGGAAGTTGACCGAAAGTTGACCTGGTTTCTAGATGGGGGTTTGACCGGGGGTTTGGGAGGGGAGTTTGACCGGTTTTAGGGGTTGGCCCGGCTTTTGAGAGGGGGAATTTGACCGGTTTCTGGGCGGCTTTCATAGACTGTACTCTGGCCTCTTGACGGAACACCCTCAAGATCCCAACCTCAGCTCTAGTGGCGGGAGTCGATTGCACCCTGGAGGCCATGAAGGCGAAGTTTTTTGGCAATTGGAAGACCATGATGCGTTCACTTTCCAGAGTCCCTTCAGAAGACCGCAAGCTGGCGGGCCAACACGGCCGACGAAACCGCCGCAGATCAATCCTAGCGGGGTAAGAAAGGCTCCAAACAACCGTGGGCAAACAAAGGCAAAGGCAAACCATGGCACAAGTCCCTTGGACAACAAAGGAAAAGATTCCGGCAAGGAAAACTAAAACGGCAAAGGCGAAAGCAACACCTTCGCCGTGGATCGCGACACTGATGCACAGGAAGCCACGCAGCCTCCTGTCGACATACCGGCAGAGCCATACCCGGATGACCTCGTTTTTCGTTCATCGCACCAATCAACCCAACCCAATGTCCTTCTGGTAGTTGGTATGCAGTGGAGAGACTCATTAAAGCAATTGAACAATATCAGCAACGGATGAAGTATGAATCCGTGCAACACGAGGATGTTTGAGCCCAAACTACCGCCAAAAAACATTGTTGCCAACTTTCGCGCTACCCGCTTTGCCCCAGTTTGCTCAGCCCATACCGCCTAGCCGCAGCGTCTCCCTAGCAACACTCCGCTCCGGTTCGCTGCGTCTCCCCGCCACAGCGTCTCCCCCCTGCAGCCGCAGCATCTCCCCGTTCCGCTGCATCTCTCCAGCCGCTGTTCCTCGTCCAGCGTCGCTCCGCCCCACGTTTTTCCCTGTTCCGACCAACTCGGCGCCATCAAGAAACAGAGATAGGGTTTCTTGCCGCACCAAGCAACATTGTTGTTTTGCCATTGGTGGTTGGCCAAACCACGACTAAACTGAACCCCCTTTGAGAATGACACCCTCTATAACTCACAGCAACTCGAAGCTGTGGATTTCGCTTTGCCAAAACGAACCTTGGTTGTCGAGCGAATCAAGACGAGAGGTTCCTTACAACTGTGAATGCCTGTTTGTGATAGGACCGTTGTTGCAGTCACCATTGCTTTCTTTGTTACAGCCACCCAATTTGCGGTCGGGGCATAGGTTCTGGATAGCAACACAATTCAGTTTTAATTGTAGACCATTCCTGAAGTACCAACAAGTCTTGGTTGGACTTGAATTGCCGCCCGCAAGCGCGTGGCCATTGATGATGACTCCCGCCACAAGAAGCGTCTGCAGTTTCAAAATGCCCTGCTTACAACCCAGGACAAAACCGGTATCCAAACCAAACAACGATACAACGATGGAATAGCACCATTTTCAATCCCCAAACCGGGCCGCCCTTGAGTCAGGAGGTTGTGGCGCTTCCTCACTAGCCCCTTTCGGCGGCTTCCGGATTTCTACATTGCGGGTTCAATGAAGTGTGGCACCACTGCGCTCTACAGCTATTTGGCCTTGCATCCGCATATCGTGACGCCCATGTTCAAGGAACGTTGGGAGGCAAGTGGTTTTGAAGCTGACCTACATGTGTTTCTACTGCTGTTTTCACTTGTGTGTGGGTTGTAAGATGGTCTGTCATTGCTTCTTGTGCTTCCAGGCGCTTTCCCCGCACGTACAAAATCATATCTCTAGGGGTTGATTCCCTATTCTTTTCAACCATCGTTCTTTTCAAAAACCGGCTGTTTCCCCAGCATTTTTGATGGTCTGAAAAGAAGGATCCCTGAAAAGAATGGGGAAGTAGAATATCGAGTTTTTTCCCAAAGAGCTGAGTTCCCCGTTTTGCGCGCCTGATATTGCTCACGATCCGTTACATTTTCTGACATGCCCCACAGCGGTTGATCTGAAGCGTGGCAATGGTAGGTATTTTCCGCCAAAACTGCCAGTCTCAATTGTTTCCCCTTTGCTTGCTTGGCCACCACAAAAACCAGCACGGCAAAACCCTTTCACCGTCTTTCTTTTTCTGTGCTATTGGAGGGGCCAGTTTCAAGGGTCCCCATACTCATTTTCACCTGATCCACGCCGGCCTTGGGTCAACTTGGGGCCCAGCGAAGCAGCGCAACGAAGCCACTATGGCCACTGGATGAAGGGCGATTTTCCTATTTTTCAGCATGACTTGAAGGTAGGTTACCCTGCCTCATGACGGGGCTTGTTTGGTGATTGGGAGGTGGTTCGCATTTTTGCATCCATGACAATTGCTCGATGACTGCAGCTTTGGTTTCTTTGGTCCGATGACTTGGACGGCAGCTTCCCAATTTTCTTCTTCTTTGTTTCTTGGCAGGCTTCTCTGTTTTCAGTGAGCAGCAAGCACAAAGCCCCAAAAAGTCATAGATGGCTCCTTATCAGAGAAAATGGCATGGGTTGGATCCTCTGCCTGGTAGCAGGCCATCGAGAAAGGGGGCCTGTTTTTGGGAGGGCGCAACCGGAGACATGGGGTTATGAAGATTGAGGACGCCCAGCCCCTCCAAAGCCTCCACAAAAGTTGACCCCTAAAAAGCTGCTTGCTCCCTAACAATAATCCGTCCCTAACAATAAAACCCCGGGTCCCCCGCGTGTTGGGCCAGAACTCTTTCAGACTGCGTTGCTTAAGTACTGGCATCAAACAGGAAAGGGGGGACGCCTTTAATTTGCAGAAGAACTTTTAAAGGGAAAGCGCCCTTGTTGTTTTTTTAAACGAAACCTTTTCAAGGGAATCCAATGGAGATAATAATAAAACCCTTGTCACGCAAGGCAACCAATTGGTGACCACTTATATTAGCACATCCGCAGAGTTTTGCTGAGTGGATCTGGGTTCGCATTGGTTTAGTATAGGGTAGTTCAAAATAAGTATTGGCAATGTTTGGGGTCGGCTGGGGGGGGTATTATTAAGGGTTTATTCATAGCAAACAAGCAGTAACTCTTTACCACCAATTTACCCTTAAATTTACCCCCCCAATTTCCCTCCCAATTACCAATTTATCCCCAAATTTACCTCCATTGTTCCACCAATATACCGCCGGATTTACCTCACATTTACCCCCCCCCATTTAGCACCTCATTTACACCCAATGAGTTACTCCCAATAATTTGCCGAAATCCCCTCCCCCAATTTTGGGTAGCTTGGGGCGGGGGGGGGTAACTAACAAGTCCAAAAATGGGCGATAAATGTTCGTACGCCGTTAAAACAAACCTGGGATTTACTCCCCCCGAATTTTTGGACTCGTCGGTCAGTTTCCCCCAAAATTGGGGTGAATTACCCAAACAATACACATCCAAAATTGGTGGCAAATCAACCCCAAAATGTCTCCCAAATTGACTCCCAATTTACCCCAAAATCCCCCCCCCCCACCCCCCAAATTTACTCCACATTTCACCCAATATTTTACCCCCAATGTACCAAATGTTCCACACATTTACCCCTAATTTACCCACAATTTGCCACCTTTGGGGGTGACGTTCCCCAGACTTCGGAGTGACTCTTGCCAAATTCGATGCGAGTGCCTGCATAGCCCCTAAGATTCGCCATTATTACTTGCTTGGGGGTGTTTTGGGGAATCGGGAGGTCTCCGAAGGCAGCAAACAGCATGCAACAAGATAGAATCAATAGTGTTAGTGTTCCCTATGCCTTGCGACTTGACAATGGATGGCTCATTTCGCAAATGGCCATGTTGGGTTTATTTTGAGAGCCCACAAGTGGGTGAGCCTCAGGTTAGGAGCCCGTTTGGGGTTTCAATCAGAGAAGAACCATGACACACCGCTAGGTCCCAAAAGCGCCCCGCAACAGATTTGAAAGACACCCAGAAATTCACCTGGAATTTGTCTCAACCCGGGAAGATATGAACATATTCTTGTTCCAACCGAGGCTCCCCCCCCTTTTGGCCACACAAGTCCCACTCATCCACTGGCAAAGTTGGAGGCTACACAATTTAATGTTCTGCGCGTGTTGCTTTTTTTTTCCCACCCATTGCCCTCCTGAAAATTAGTGAGGTATGGTGGACCTGGTTTTGTCATGAACAGTTGTGCTTTCCACTTTGGTCAACCGAGGTAATGGCCCACGCAGAGGTTTCATCTCAAAATGCCACTCATTCGCTGGTAAAGCGGGGGAAGGGACCAACAGCAAACTTGTTTGAGTTTCCTCCGGCATTTGCCTCACGCCCTCTTGGGACCCGCTTGAAACACGGAATGTAAGGTGACAAAGGTGCCAAAAGAGGCCCTGAATTGTGACACACACCCCTCATCCCTCTCAGTGCCAGGAGTCTCGCTTTTTTCTGGGTATGTGTGGCTTGCGGCTCTCTACCTGGAGATATCGCTCCCTTTTCCCCAGCTATTGGGCCTGTCCCAAGGCGGGGAAAGGGGTGGATTTGACGGGTCAAGGGTTAATGAGGCGGTCAGCAACGCCCTTTAACGTGCGATTTTCGGGACAACCAGAGCATATGACTATGCGGGTTTCTATAACTCGACGCTTGTTGACCATGGTTGATTTGATTGCTGAAGTTTGATGGGCTAGCCGAGTTGGTTGATGAAACCGTCCAACATGTTCAACTGCAATTCCCTTTTCACGACGTAATGAGTTGTTTGATAGATTTGTGGGATGGTTTATATGGCAGACAGAACTGCGCATTGCTCAAACTTCAAGTCAGGTACACAGGGCCCTCACTCAACGAAGAAGCACGTCGGCTTCTAATAGAGCAGCGGACCGCAACACGAAGATTGGTTTTGTGTTGCCAGCTTTAAAAAAAAGTTTTCACCAACAACCCTAATTTCCCCTTTGCGGATGTAGTTTGGTTGATTTGGGAAGGTGGGTCAGCCCAAATCCAACTGGGACAACTTCAAGACGTCCACAGTCTGCTGTTTGGAAGATGGTCCGCCTAAGCCTGGGCCACAAGAGCAAGCGCAAGGCTTGGGCGCCAGCGCTTGAGCGGGGCCCGGCAAGTCTTGGAAATGGTGCAAATGGGCCCCCAAACCACTACCTGTTGGTTTCTAATACCTTGTTACACGCGTGTGTGCGTGGCCATGCAGTGATGTGATTGTACGCGCATTGAACCGCATGTACCTTTATTCTTTCAGCGACAGCCAGCTTTGGCCTTGAAGGAGGTGGGAGGGACCCAGGGCAGCCGAAGCATGATGTGGAGCTGAAAGGAGTCCGGGCGAAATTGCTTGGATGACCGCACAATAAAGGGGCCAATTGGGTGAGACAAATTGACCAACAAAGGCTACAGCCAGCAACTGTTGAGACCGGCCGCCCCATTGATGAACATGTTTGGCTAAGGGGAATGCTAAGCCCGCTCTGAGAATCCCTTTTCCACGGTACATCGATGGAGAAAACATAGACACCCCCATGTGCTGGTTCGGTTCCTTTAAGTAGCTTCTTGGAGAGGCTCATGATTGGTACACAGATTGTTCTTCGCCCGCTCTGTTTCTCAAAGGATCCAACAAAACTGGAGGTGGTAAAAGCCTTTGTTTGGTGCTTGGCAGCTTACACGATGTTCAGCCTCGCATTAGGCCTTGAGCCCGGCACGAAAACTTTCCACGGCTCTGTGAGCCTTTGATCCTGGACCATCACATCAGTTGATTTTCTGGCCGCTGCACTGGTGGCGGAGCACCGCACTTGGCCCCGGGGCAAACATGCGCGCTAAGCGGCGCTTTTCGCGGGTCTGTGAGCCCGTGATCCTCGGCCATTGGCCTTTCCACTGCGTTTGCCTTCCGCTGCACATACCCAAATGGAAGCCTCCTGTCGGCCAGGGATGCCTCACCTTCGACGCAGACGCCACAGCCAGCTTGACGCCCAACTTGGCTGCGGCTATGTACAAGCGCATGAGCCTTGCCATTGGCTGGGGCGGGTTGGATGCAGTTGGGTGGCCGTTTGGAACCTCAGAGGCTTGATCCTTCTCATGTAGACCACCAGTTTCATTTTGAAGGAGTTGAAGGCTGGAGGCGCCCGTATCATCTTGGCAGGTTCAGCCTTGGCACCCAACCTGCGCTGCTTCTGAAGCAGGATCAATTGCTGATGAAATCGCCAGGAGCACAGGGTCTCTTCGAAATAGATCATTTTTTGAAAATTGGATACCCCGCCTTTTCTTGCTCCCCGCTTTTTGTACAAGCCAATGGTCCCAACAAGTGATAAAGTCTGGCGGACGTTGGAGAATTTCCTTGGGTGAAGACGGAAACAGCATCAAATGGTCGCGATGTGATTCGCTCCAAAAGCCATGCCTGCCTCACACAACGAAGCAAAAAAAACACCACAACACGTCAGAAAGCAGACAAATAGCAAAACCTTTCAAGCGTAACCAACTACTGCAAAAACGCTGTGAGCAACCAAACCTTTGCATTTACCTGGTTGGCACTTGAACCAAGGACCCCTGGTGCCAAGATCATCTTGGTCTACCGCGAGCCTGAGAAGGCAGCCTGGTCCATGTGTGCCTTCCGCTCTCGCATCAAGTGCACGCCCGTCTGCGGCTTCACCTTCAAGCAGATGCTTGGACAAGACAATGGCCTGCTCCCTGTCATGGCAGTTGCGCTTGTGCTTGTGCTCGGCCTTGGGCTTGGCCTCGGGCTGGCCTGGGGCTTGTGTGTGTGTGTGTGTGGGACCCCACCGCACCTTCCTGCCACACCCTGCAATTCTTGAGGATGACCTTTGGTAAGTTGCTGATTTCTGGAGAGGCAGCCACAATGACGGATTCCTACCAGAATGAGCCCCACGCAGACCCTTTGCGGTTTGTCAAAATCTTTCTTGTTACTGCATGTTACTGCTCTGCCTTGGTGGGTTCACATTAGGGGTCCTTGAGCCCTTGAGCCACAAATGAGTTCGACGTAGGCCGTGTTCGCTCACTCCCACGCAATAGCAGTATGCAGAAGGTCTATGTCTAGTACAGGTCATGTTACAACACTGCTGATGTCATGGTCACATGGAAGAGGCGTGCTTGATGAAGCTTCATGAAAACTGGCTCGGGAGATTCAGATTTCTGGACCTCAGCAACCCAAACTCTTTGCGGGCTCGATCGATGCAAGCAGCCTTTGCGGAGGATGTATGATCTGGAGATGAGAACGGTGGAGTCTCCCCACTGGGCAGAGGTCGGGGTGGCTAGAAATGCGCGATTCTGGATGTCAGGAAAGTGCTGAAAGCGTAGCTGAAATGGAAAATCCTTCAAGCCGCTAACTTGGGAGATCCTTGAAACGGCAGGTCCACGCTTTTGCGGTCTTAGCCTGGCGCAGCTCGAGAAGGGACAATTTGCAAGCTGAGCGTGAATGTGGAAAAAGTCAGTCTTTGGCGTGCAAGCGATCAAGCACAAGCAAAACCAAACACAATCAACATTGGCGAGTAGCACAAGCGGCTTGGACGGCAACAATCTATTGAGCACACCCTCGATAGCCTGCCCCCTATAAAAACCGGCCATTTGGAATTTGGTCACCCTCACTGTCCGTCCTGGTAGAAGATCAAACTCCTGAACGTTCAATCAATGACCCAGCAATTTCAGTTGCCCAATTTTGCTTTAAATGAAGAAGGGGGTCATGGTCTGGGCCACGTGTTGGCGAGTGAGGTGCTCAATTCACTCTAGGCCGTGTTTAATTTTTCCCCTCAAATGCAAGACATTCTCGAGGAACATCCATTATGGGGTTCTTAAGGAGGGGGCGTAAGGGGAGGGGGTAGTTGGAACCCCCTAAATAAGTACAAGCTTCCCTAGCAAGTTTTAGAGCTCCTTAGCCGATTCTTAGGCTCCCTTAAGCTCCTGCGCTTCCGCTTTGATTGTGGCTAGGTTGGGTTGGGGCAAACGATGGCTTTACCCCTTCAGCTGCAAGCGCTGCTGGCCAACCCACAATTCAGTGGGAATGCAGTTTGAACTCTGAAAATTGACTGGGAGGCTTGGGGAGGCTTAGGGCGTGCTTGGGGAAGCTTAGGGAGCCTTAGGGAAGCTTAGGGAAGGGAAGCTTGGGGAGCCTTGTGGAAGCCTGGGGAAGCCTCGAGAATAGGGACCAATCAGCTTAAGTTGGGTTGCATAAAAAAACGAGCAAAGGACGGCGTGCTTTGCGAAGAGACTAGTGGATTCAGGATTTGAACCCTGGTTTTCTGGGGCTCCCTAGTCCACCCCCATCTATCCCCCCCTCTTACATCCCCCCCCTTAAGAGCCTCATAAATCCAGATGTTATGGATGACGATTGGGTCTCCACAGTTCGGGGAACATTGGTAACAGGTTTGATGTTCCTCGTTAAATCTCTGAAGCAATTCCTTTCGTCGCGCAATCACAGGGCGCACCCAGTGCGTGCATGTGGGGCTTTCCAGGTGGAGCAGCTTACCCGGGCCTTGGACACCGGCGCTTGCAGCGTGACGTTGTCCGCGGGCGTGGCCCCATGCGTGCTGAGCAGTATGCTGATGCGGACGCAGAGGCGCCACCGCTCTCGTCACGGGTCGGGCGCTTGATTCACCCCCCCTTCTTAGGGGGCTCAAGGACTTTGAAGGTTGATGTTTCAGTTGGGGACATATCGCGAAGCCTGTGCGCTGAAGGCGTGGCATTGTGAGCAGGTCTGTAGCCAAAGTCCTTCCCCACAGATGATTCTGGTTTTGGTAGGACTCTGCTAATTCTGTGGCCTACAATAAGTGCTGAGTCTCTTACTGAAATCAAATTGGGTAAATGTAGGCAAGGACTCCTACACAGATCCTGCAGGGGTGTCCCCTTCCGGTTTGAAAATCTAACTGGCATGGTGAAATGCGATACCTGTGAAAACCTCAAAAAAATCATATCCAGATGAGCCATGTCAAGCTACAGGCATGGTTTTTGAATTGCTCATCTAGGCATGGCCTGTGCCCGAGCCGTGAGCCGTTGCCAAGGTATGCGGACATCCTCCACGAGTTCCAGAGCCGCTTCGGCAAGGACCAGGTCCTGCTGGTGAAATTCTCAGATGCCTGGCTGGAATCTTCGGGCGCGGCTTTGGGACCCACTCGCATGTTCAACAGACCTCGTTGTTTGGGGTTAACAGGGAGGATCATCAACCCTTTCATGGGGAGAAAACCCCTGCATGTTTTAAGGACTTTTGACCATGGCACTTATGATGAGCTACGAGTCAACATCAGTCTGTCCATCAAATGGGCATCGTGGGAGCCCAGGATTACAGTGATTACAGTATCAAAAACCAAGGGTTTATTGATAAAGCCCCTCCATAAAAACAAACTCGGTCTATTAATCCTGGGTCAAGCTCAACAATTCTCATGTTGTCCAAACTTGTTTTGGGAAACTGGGATGTCATAGTGCCAAGTCCGGTCTCGACTTGGAACTCGGTTGTGCGACTGCCTCGGGGCCATTTTGGCTCAAGTCCATGACTTGATCCTTGGTTCGATCTCGGATCTTTTAATTTGAATCCTTTCAGGTAGCATGGAAATGGCCATGGAAGTTGACGGGGAGCCGACGGCAATGGAGCTGGGGAACCGGGTCGGGGACGGCTGCTCCAAGCGCTGTATCCCCCCCGAAAAACCCTAGCTTGGACAAGCAGCCCGGGGAGCTCAAAAAGGCAACCAAGGGAGGAGCCTGGGGTTGGGACGGCTGCCTCGAGCGCTGTATCGGCTTCGGCTGGGCGCTCCTGGGTTATTGGCACTTCGTGGACACGAACGAGTTCTGCGGGCCTACTACCGCAGACCTGGCGGCCTGTGGAAAAAGCGGTGCTCGAGGAAAAGCTGGATATCATCGACCTCTTCAACCTGGCGGCATGCAGTTGTCCGCTGGTAGGGCCTGGAAGAGGACCCAATAAACACCCTGACTGGCTTGCCCTCCGCGGAGGTTGCCCATAAAGGGTATACCCCGCGCAAGGAGGAACGGGTCCGCTCCAACTGGCGGACCCGGATGCGGCCCTGATGAAACTCATCTTGAGGCGGAAGGCCCGAGGGCAGATTCCGGTCCTCTGCCGGATCCCAGCATGGACGGAGAAAGACCTTCAAAGCACGACCAGCGCACGATGCTAAGAGGGAACCGCTTCCCGACTGACAGCAAGACTGCGGGTATCCTCAGATGCCTCCCCAAAATGGTAACTCCTTGCTCAAAACTTCAAGGAGTGGGTCGAAAAGCTCGATGAGCGTGGCAGACAAATTCTCACACCACACGAGGCGCCCGCTGATGGCACAGGTGGCGAGCAACGGCTAAACCCAAGCCACCTCCACCCTGGCAGTAATCCGTCTTGAAAACTCCTACGGATGCCTTCCGCAGCCTCAGCTGCAAGTTGGAGATCTCCCCGGCGCTTGACCGCATGGTAGAGGTAACAGAAACGAAATGCGGCCTACCTCCTGCGGTTCAAGATGAAACCGGAAGTGGAACACGAAGGATATGCTGGGGGTGCTCACGCGGATCCTTCTTTGGGGGGAGTTCCCGACAGGATCTTTCCTCGACCTCAACAAGGTAGTGGCTCTTCACCCCAAACCACGGGAGTTGAATTACTAGAAGTGTTAATCAAAAGAGGACTTGGAGTGGATCATTGAAGAGCTCGGAAAAGCACTGGAAGTGGATGGTGATGATCTTGCAAACATCCCAAAACTAAATAAGTTCTACGCCTTCATGATGGGGGAGGATGTCATGGGCAGGGAACCTTCCCCCAGCTAGTGTCATGATGACGGCCAAGAGAAAGGTGTGGCGTCGGGATGTATGACACACTGTCCCTCTCCAGCACAAATTCTGGAAAAAATGTTCTGTCGCAGGTCATACGGAGGTGGAAGAGCTGAGAGGCGTCCCTACCCGCGCCAACCTGGGTTCTCCCGCTTTACCAAAGCGATTTCTGGTAGGTCAAACTATTTGGGACCATGGCCGTTGATTTGAAGGGCGCCCACGATGTGCCGCAAATCGTCATTTGCTGCCAAAAAATTGGAAGCCAGTGCCGCTGACCTGCTCGAGGCAAATCGTATATATATATATAAATAAGTATATATATATCTATATATATATATATATGTATATGTGTGTGTGTTAGGCTGAGGCCGTCGCGACGAGCCACCAAGCCAACTAGACGCAAAGTCTGGCGCAGGATCAAAGCACTTGCTACACATGCTCCATCTTTGGGAAATCCCGTCATGACACGTCCCCAAGCAAGCTAGTAAGGGACGTGTCATTGACAGATGCTCATGTTCTATCTTGAGGAATCCTCAATTGATCCTTGATATGCTTTGATATGTCCCCAAGTAGTTGGCTTGGGGATGTATCGTGACGGGCCTCAGTCTGTGCATTGTTTTGAGTCGATCGCCAACACGGCGCATTGCATGTTGGCAGGCACACGTCGCTAGGAACACTCCCAAACCTGGCGGCAAATCGGAGGACTCGCAAGATGGAAGAGCGACTGCCGAGTAGTTTGATCATGTGTTAAATGATCCCTGATTGTCAGCTGAAGTGGTTGCTTCTCAGTGTCAACAATGTTCCCAACAATGGCTCTCTTTTGTACTCAGGAATTGCCGGCGTGTTCTCCGGCGCATGGAAGGGTGGTGTGAAAGAGAAACCTCTAGCCATCGGGAGGGGGCTCTGTATGGCGTGTTGCAGCCAATGACGCTTTGTGGTGAATCGTTGCACCCTTCAAGTCGATGGCAAATGATAGGCTTTCCAAAGATTGGCCCATCAAGAGCGTCCGTCAAGCGCTTTGATCCTGCGGCCCAAACACTGTGCGTCGTTTCGATATGCCCCCAAACAGTTGGCTTGGGGACGTATCGTGACGGGCCTCGGCCATGATTTGCTTCGAGTCGACCACTGACACAAGGCTTGCACCATGTTGGCAATGCCATGGTTAGTGTTCTTTAATTCGATGGCAAACTGCAGGCTTCCCAGAGATAGAACATTGCCCAGCAAAGGCGTCGGCTGAGCAGCTCGACCATGTGTATATCCAAAGTTTTTTTGAAATGTGCCCAAACACTTTGCTTGTGGACGTATCCTGACAACCAGAGTGTGCGTTAAGTGACTCTGTCCATCTTAGCGCAAGGGCCCCGCACGGAAGAACTTGTTCCTGTGCTTGCAGGAACGCCACAAACGCTGTGAAAATCGACCTTGACAGTGGCCAGCGACCCCGCATCCTCATTCTGGCATCCTACCCTCCTAGAAGTAGCCTCTGCCTGGCAGCAAGTGGGTGTAGGGAGATTGCGCTCAACACGGCATTTTGTTTGCGGGGACGCGGTCTTCGTTTGACTTTTGTTGTTGGTATGGCGCACCAAACGCTATCCCAGGTAATTTAAGTTGTAGCCCCAAATGCAACTTCAAGCGGGAACCTGCATGGTAGCCGCCGAAAAGGACATTGCGACGAACACCGAAGCCACGGTGCGGCGCGTTTTCGCCTTCCTTGGCCTGGACTCGAGCATCGAGCTGCCCGCTTTGAAGAGCGTCCAACCTGAGGATGTTGTGGACCTGGTGGTGACCTCCGAGAAGAAGGCGGGGGGGGGGGGGCGGGAGGATCGCTTATACCCCTAGCTGGAGTGAAATTAGCGGGCCAGTAGCGGGTGGTGTTGCGTGTCTTGCGTAGGCGGCGAACGCGCATGGCTCTGCAATTCATTCCAGCAAAGCAAAGACCCATTTGCGCGGCACCACAGCGAGAGCGTCAACGCGCACAATCTCCACAGAGGGTTCGCCGAGACCAAGACACATTCGCGCGGCGCCAAAGCGCGCTATCTCCTGCAGAGGGTTCGCCGAGCTCAAGAGACATTCGCGCGGCGCCATGCACGAAAGATCACCTCAGCTTACGGGTCAGCAAGGGCATGGGCAACATGCGAGACACATGAGCAGGCATCACGTAGAGCGCACGCCAAGCAGATGTCTCGTCCTCGTCATGTTCACAAACTTGCAGCGCCTGCGCACGAGTAGGCCCAGTCGCGGAGGTCGAAGCGCAGCTCTTGCTTTGTGCTCGTCACACACGCGTGACGGGGACGCGTTGCTGAGTTGAAGGAACACTTGGAGTTAGGCTGGGCCAAAGTTGGCCGCCATGAGCTTCTTTATGCTGAGGCCCTCCATCAGCTGCATCGCCTCCAGCACCACGTCGGTGTCCGGCGCGTCACGCTCGCTCTTCCTCCTCCTGCAGTGCGTTGTCACAGCGGTCCTCCGTCATTGACCGAATTGCCTGTGTCAGTCTAGAAGTAAAATAACGCTTCCCTTCTCAGCATTTGGCCAAGATCCCGACAGCTGAAAGCTGTACCGTCAAGTAAAGAAGGGGCGGGTGAGACCCAGCTGTCGCAGGCAGCTATGGGAGTCCTATCTGTGGTGCTGTTGCAGGGTGTTGCTGCAGAGTAAGAGAAGCAGAGAAGGAGCTCGGGCAATCACTTGAATGGCTTCCTGATGTGGAATTGAAAGCGCAAAACCTTCTCTGCTCAACTAACACGCTTCATGTTTCGAAAGACAACTTGCGCCACACAGACTGGTGCCTGGTCTTGCTCGCGCGCAAAGCAAGACCTTAGAACTGCGTGCTGGGCTGTGACTTGCGACGGGCTGCCGGCAGAAACGCGTTGCTCAAGAAGAGTTGCGTGCGCTCCAGCAGCATGCAAGAACTGCCCACGAAACACACTCCAACAGCATCTGCGCCAGCGCCCACTGCGTGCCCCCTCGCAGCCGTCAATCTTGCAAAAATGCGCTCGCGCCGTAGCGCCCGCCCGCGCCGCCATCACACCCTCCAACAGTACCTGCGTCCAGCGCTCCAAACTGCATGCTTTAGCGCCCGATCTTGCAAACCGCCGTCGCCACCACTGCCGCAAAACAGCGCCCCAGACTGCATGCCTCTTCGCGTCCGGCTGTCAATCTTGCAAAGCTGCAAGCGCTTGAAGCAGCACTTGCACCAGCGCCCCGTTTGAGGTGCCCGAAACAACACCTGAGCCACAATTAGTAAGTCCCAGCTGGGAATAGTTGCGGCCGCCTCTAATTCTTTATACCAGGTTTTGATTGTGACTCACCTCCGCAAAAACGCTACTGTTACGAGTGCAAAACATCACCTGCGCCAGCGCCCAAAATTGCACATCTCCCTGTATGTGTTCGCCAAGCTGGCAAAAATGCGCCCCGTCGCCATCAGCGCTGCCCAGCCCGAAGCAGCCCCCCAACCAAGGCAACACTCCCCCAGCTGGCCGCCGATCACCATCACCAGCACAGCGCCAGCTGACCAAACTGTGCGCCCCCTACCGTCAACACACCGCTAACACCCCAACTGCATGCCCCCCACCCTCCCGAAATGCACCCCCCCAGTCTTGCAGAAATGTGCCCGCGCCGCCAACTGGAACAGCGTCCCACACACCCGAAACTGCGTGCCGTCAATCTTGCAAAAATGCGCCTAGCGCTACGCCTTCATGCCAACATGAGGCCCGAGGATCCCAGTCCACCGTAAGCAATCTTCCATGTGTATAAGCCTGCGCTTCCCGAAACAAAGCAATTGCTGCTCAGAAAGTCACAGCCCCCGCAATTTTAGGATGGCCGCTGTCAACAGGCTGTAGGTCAGATGATGAGAACGAAAGAGCGGATCAACCCAACAACCAGAATGCTTGAAGGTTTCACCTGGTTCATTCCCAACCAAACAGTACGTAGCCAGTTTGGTTAGGTGGCAACCAACAGAGAGGACCTTTCCTGATTGGGCAGCCTGGCGCCACTTCGGTGTAGCGCATGGATCCCTCCAAGTTGGGCCAGGCCTCAATCCCATCGGCAGAAGAGGAAGCCTTGTTGAAGAGCAACTTGGCTGGGACAGTACGCTTGCGTGACCTCGCATTTGCAGAATTCCGCTTTTTGATCCTTTTGGTGTTCTTGCAACAACCTCTCTTCGTTCCCCACAAATTGGCAGTTGCTTCCCAGGAAGAAACAAGGCACGATAGCGTAACCAATAGCGACCGCTTCTTTCTCGCTTGTCTGACCGCAGCGTTTTTTGATCGTGTTACAGCAGTGCCTGTTTTACCATGTTTTTGGTGGGCAAGTTTGAGACGTCAATCCATGGGTCCAGCAAGAGCATGTTTGGAGGCCGTCGCGACTAACCTCTTGAACATCATAATTTTTACATTTGCAGATGACGAGGCGGCTTTGATGCGAGGCTATGCTTTCATTGTGTTATATTTTCTTGTTTGCGATTGAGCGGTGAGCTGCGATGCTGTGCACAGTTCAGACAGTGGCACTGGCCAGCCCAATACACATGGACAGCTTACCTAGTAAGAAGGCCTCATGCTTCGCTCAGCGCACGTGCGTTGCGGTGTGGCAATTTCTTCTCGCTGGCTGCAATGCCAACCAACGTGACAAGCCATCATCGCCAGAGTATGTACTTGGTCTGGGTTTTAATGACGAATCCCATGACTCATCTGCTGAGTCTGTTCCGGCTTTGCCCTTTGTCTTTGTCCTCTTTGCCTTTCCCTTTGTCACTCGAATACAGGGCAGGTGATGTTTGCTTTCCCAATCTGTTTCCTTTCATTTTGGGGGGGGTCTCAAAGTGCCCGCTCATTCCAAGAGCAAAGTTCCCAGCTCAAAGTCAAAAAAGGCATCGCCCTGCCACCAGGGTGTATCTTTGGCCTCAACATGCTGCGCGCAAAAGACAACCCTCCTTTCTTACCCCAACTTGCGTGATCGCAGGGATCCGCGCTGACGACAAAACTCTGTCAGTCTTTCGACATAAGTCCTCAACATGTCTGTGTCGTCAGATACAGTGGTGATTACGCCGCAATTTCTGGCGTCCAATCATGCCACATCAAGAGCTTTCGTCGAATGGAGTTATTTTGATGCCGCAGCTGGTTTGGATATGAAGAGCTTCTAAATGAATGGCTGAGCGTCGCTCAAGTTGATCCATCGAGACATGGACCACTTCTCAAGAGGTTGAACGGAGACATATTTCAAAAGCACGCTTCGGAGCGTGTTTGTGTTGACAAGGGCGGAACGATCAAATCAAACAACGTGGGGGGGGGGGGGGGGGGGGTTGGGTGCTTGTACCGTTCTTGTCACATGTAAGCCCTGCCACGTCTAGTGGCTCGTTTTCACGCGCCCTTTCCAACGTCAGCCATGCCTCGGCCGAAGCCACTACAATGTCAAGAAGTTGAAGCTTCTGCTTGACCCAAGCTGGCACAACTTTCGCTGAAAGCCTTTTCAGTGACAACGTGTCAAAGTTCATTGGCCACAAAGTTTATGGCGCCAGGAATCAATCCGCAGCGCAGCCCGACCCATGCGATCCTGGACAATGGATGCGCAAGATCTATGGAAAGCTGGCATGCGTTCAAGCGATTTACCTCAGTTGCTAGGAGTACATTCCCGCTGACAAGATGTTAACGGACATTCAGCCAAGTTGGTAAGTTGGACCTTGCGCGGCGCACAGATCCTCCAGCCAGATCAACATCGACATCCTGGAGAGGAACATTCGGAATGTATCGTCAACCAGTTCCGGTGTGCAGCAGGACATGCGCTTTTCGATCTTGTAAGCGTGGCAAAAATTATGAGAAATCGCTTCCAAGAGTCCCAGCCACTCCGTATACGAGGATGATGATCGTGTCAGATATACTCCATCGTCTTCAACCCAGCCCTGCAGAAACCAGACGTTCTGGTTCTGGGAGACAATTGGCGGACTTTCTTCACAAGCACACACAAGCAGGCCATCAGTGGCAAGGAAGAACCTTCGCTAACAAGTCGTTTGTTGCGAAGGAAGACGAGCATGGGCTAGCGTCAGACAGGATCGTTGACGAGAAGGATCCCTCGAGCATCTCCACCTCCAGCATATATGATGACAACCGCCAGATTTCAATTTCGATCGCTACACTTGCTGAAGGAGACACACGACCTTTCTGAGAAGATTCGTGCGGCATGGCAGCAGCAACTGTTCAAAATCAGACGGCCGCCCTATGGAGAAATTACACCACGAGCTTGCTGGCAGATCTTTGTTCAACTTGATGCTGCGACACCAACGCAACTCGCGAGTGATCGAACAGAGGAAGACCTTTCAGCTACGCAGGAAAAACAGCCTGCCAAACAAGCCTGTTCGTACGAGTTCTAAAACCTCTTCAGCCTGGTGACAGGGCTTTCTACTGGCAGGAAGATACGTCTAAGAGTCGTTCCGATGGAAGCAAGGGGGTGTATGGTTGAAGGTCGAAGGAGGCTGTAAGATAAGACCTGGAACGCGCTTCAAGGTGAATTGTGCGAAAGTGTGAGACGGTTCCCCTGAAAAATCAGGGAACAGGTCCGGTACTACCAGATGGAGCTGGAGTCGCCACCACAGTCAACACCACGACACTTGTCTTCAGCAACACCGACAGAAACTCTATTCGTTGGAGACCTTTCATCACAACATGAATATTCACATTGGAACACTGAGAAAAGGGAAGATCCGTGTTCTCGAGATGCTTCAAGATTCCAACTGAAGCACGCAAGAAACTTCATGGAGAATTCCGGGATGGCACGGGTCTGGAGCTTGAATTGCAACTCTTTACGGCCGGAGGAGCTACTTGATTTCTGCGCATTTGGTCTATGGGATCCGGATCTGGAGAACAACCTCAGGAGTTTGAGGCCGAGAAGCCTACTTGCCAAACAAGTCACGCGACGAATCTTCCGGAGACCCAGGAAACACTCCAGCAAGAGCAATTTCTCACACCAACACGATTCGTGTGCCACATTGTACAAAACCTATTTTGATAGAATGAGCTACTATCTACAGATTTATCTACAGATCTATCTACAGATCACAGCACGCAGCCGCTAAAAGGAAAATCTTCTTTGCGTGGCCGCGGCTCGGTGAGAGAAATTTGTGGCCTTGCAATGATCCTGATCTTCCCACACTTCATTTTGGCTCAAGGTCTCAGATGTGCCAAGAGCAAATAGAAAGGTAGCTGTGCTTCTCACTGTGTATCAAGAGCAATGAAACAATATCAGTGGTTCCATTGAAAGGGGCATAGCTCCGTGCTAGCCAGGCAATTGAACTGCACAGCTCAGCACCTGCTCAAACAGGGTCACCTCCTTCTAGTGTTAAGCCTATGGGCTTCCAAAATTTCTTTGTGGTGATTGATTTGGATTCTGTTTTAGCCTCCAGGCTACTACGGCGAGCAGAGGCGGCGGCTGGCGCAGATGCTGAACTGTGCAGAGGAGGATCTCTGGTGAGGCGCAGCTGCGAGCTTGGGCGGCAAACTGTTAAAACTAAGAAAAACTTGCAAACCTTGGGCATTTTCACACACGCTGCAATAGCTGGGCGTACAGCTTGCTGTTTTTGATTCCCTGAGTTGGGAACGCCAAGCCAGCCTTGGCAGCCTTGTGAATTTTCTTGCGGCTGCCCGCGAGGTAACCCACAAAGAGCTGTTTACGGGAATCTCTCATGCCTCATGACTGAGGCTGGGGGCGTCTAAGCCGCAGACCGTCGCAAACCATTTCTTAGGGTTTTTCTGATCTGCGAAGGAGCAGCAACGCTCCTCGACGCCGAGCAAGGTTGGTAAAAGCAGACCGATGCTTCCAAGGACGCATGTGGGTTTTTTGTGTTGAGTTGCTTCAAAAGGCAGAAGGTGGGACCTTGGCGAACCATACCCCCGAATCGCACCCCCGAATCATACCCCGAAACGTATGTCGCAGGATGCTACTTTTCTTCTACCCTTGCGTTTACTCTCCGAAACAACCACCAGCGCTACTAAATACTAATTTACATCGTTCTTCTCCTGCTCCTACTACTACTGCTGCTGCTGCTGCTGCTGCTGCTGCTACTACTACTACTACTACTACTACTACTACTACTACTACTACTACTACTACTACTACTACTACTACTACTACTACTACTTCTATTGCCTCTGCAGCATACCCCGAGTCATACCCCTGAAGCATACTCGCGGATCATACACTGCAGTCAAACCTTTTTGCCCGGCCACCGTAAAGAACACATGCCCATTTTTGAGAGACAAAAATGCAAAAAATAAGCCCGGGTCCCCAAAAGAAGTTGGGCCGTTCCAGATGCGCAACATGAACTTTTGGAATCACAAGAATGCCACGATTTCTGGGCATCCTTGGACATGTTGATCGGATGCTCGCAAAATGGATTGGTGGGTCCGTGGGACGCAATGAGACATGGAGGAATGGATGGGATGGCGCACACGCACACACACACGCACACCCACCACACAGCCACCTACCCAACAACCCACACACACACCCAGCCACACCCACACACCCACACCACCCACCTCCCCGCCCGCGCGCGCACACCCACCCGCACGCCCGCCCGCCCGCCCGCCCGCCCGCCCGCCCGCCCGCCCGCGCCCACCGCGCCGCCCGCCCGCCCCGCCCGCCCGCCCGCCCGCCCGCCCGCCCGCCCTCCCCGCCCGCCCGCCCGCGCTCGCGCGCGCGCACCATCAGGAATGGCTTTGGGAAGAATGGCCCGAACTGCGGGCGACGCAGGGCATGCAGGCGATGCACGAAATACAGGGGCTTCCGAAAGCGTTGGCGATGCTGGCAATGCAGCCGGGTTGCTGCATATTTGCAGTGTTTTCAGCCTTCCCTTACTCTACCCGGCAGATAGATGGCTCAAAAAAACGGTCTGTGCCATCTACTTTTCTTCAGCTTAGATAATTTACACTCCGCGCGCCGGCGCCAGATAATTGGGGGTCAACCGGGATGCAAAATAGATGGCACATTTTTTTAGCCCCCTAAGATTAATGTATGGCACAATTCAGTGCGTCCACTCACGCTCGCTCACTGGCTCGCTCACTGGCTCACTCACTCACTCACTCACTCACTCACTCACTCACTCACTCACTCACTCACTCACTCACTCGCTCGCTCGCTCGCTCGCTCGCTCGCTCGCTCGCCAAAGGCTGCCGCTCTTTGCGTATGTTACGATGGGGCCAAGTCACGGTTTGGGCTGATGGGAATGGTTGCATTTAGAGTTGTGCCATCTACTTTTTGCGGCAGTGCCGCCACAAGGCAGCGCCTCACAAGGCAGCCTCCCAGGTAGCGGAGTTGATTTCAGCCTTTGAGGAGTCCCGCTGCCGCAAGTGGACACGGATTCGACGAATCCTCGTCATGTGGCACGGCTTTGAGGAGTCCTCGTTGGCTTGACAAGGATTCGGCGGGTCAAAATGCAAACAAAAAACAGGAGCTTAAGCTTCCTTAGCCAGGTGGTTGGAAACCAGCTCTCCGGGCAAGCCAACTTTCGAACCGTACAAACGAGGGTTCAATAGTGTGGTTTCACCTGAACGTGGCACACCCTGGGAATGTCACATGTTGTGCATTATTGCTTACAAACGCAGGACCGAATTGCGGTGCTTTTTTTGCAGCAGTTGCAGCTCGCAACTCAGACTTGTCCAAACTGTTTGACAGCTGGAGCCGCACATGAAACGCGCCAACAGGCTGAAGCCAAACGCGCAGAGTCAAGCGTCACACACGGTCTAGCGCCGGAAGAAGGGGAAAGTTGCTCGCGGGGCGCTTCTAAGTCTCGCATGTCCGGCCATGGAAAAGGAGCTGCAGGCCGGTGACAGTTGCCCATGGGACGCTGGCAAGTGATTTGCCTGGCGCGGCGCACGGACTGTCGGAGCAGAAGGTGAAGAGCAGGAGCAGCGCATTGCGGGCGGGGCTTGGCGCAGAGCCGGAGGTGTAGTTGTGGCAGTTCCTGGAGATGGCTGGCGCCTCTTCCACGCCGTGGCAAGGTCGCGGCCAGGACTGGAGAAGCGCGCTGGTGTCTGCGCGCAGACCTACTTGCAGACGCTAGACTAGAGTGGCTGTGGACGGCACTGGCTGGACGATGCCGCAACAATTGAGGCAGCCTGCGTGCCAGAAACAGAGGCGGAGTTGGAGCGACGGCGAGACTTCGTTCGACGGTGCGGCGTGGAGGCACAGGTTCCAGACGCAAAGCCAGTGCTGTGGAGTAAGGTGCTGGCCGTGGTGGAGCAGCCTAACGGTCTGGACTCCTTTCATCGTGGGTCTGGCGCAGAACGGCGCTCACGGAGCAGTTCCACTTCTATAGTATGGAGCGGCGTCCCTGACGCAAACTACTGGGCACGAACTCAGACTCGTCACGGACGAAGAATGCCGTGCTGCAGTGGCTCGCCTCCCGACCGTGCTGCAGCTGCTGCACCGAGAGATCGGCAACGTGGGGCGCTACGATCTGCTCAGGACGCCGTGTCTCCGCAGCCGTTTGCACGGACACCTTGGTGAGGCTGCGGGCCGAAGGCGGCAGCGCAGCCATGTGGGAAGCGCATCCAGGCTCCAATTCCTCAAGTGGAGGCGGCCGTGTGGTCCGAGCCAGAAACCAACGGACAAAAGCCGATAGTGTGCAATCGTGGGAATCGCAAGACGCCAGCGAGGAAGCTGAAGAGCTCGGCCCGGCGGGGGTAGAAGCCAGCAAGACGTGCGCCGCCCTAAAAGTCACAGACGTCCACCTTGCCGAGCAAGTGGCATGCCTGCCCGACGCCGCTGCTGCCTGCCAGCACGGCCACGCGGAAGTCGCTGCGACGCAGCTCCTCCTCCATCAGGCGCCCGCGATCTTCCTCTGTGTAAAAAATTTACCACGGACGTCCATACGCGACACGCTGCCGAGGCCTCAATCCACCGCACCTTCTCTTGACACAACAAATCCAAAGGATACCCGTACCAGTTGTCATTGGCTGCCGCAAGCGGCTCCAGCATGTCCGGCGCAGTGGCTTGCGCTCTGCGCACAGTTGCTCTCGCGTGGCTGGACACGCAGCACGCATGCGGTCCAGTGACAGCTGCCAATCCTGCTCCGGAAGCCGATCTTTCAGTATCCCACGTTGCTACTGGGACCTCCAGGCCGCACTCCCGCGCAACAGGCAAACCAGGGCCACGCAGTGCTCTTCGCGCCTCCCCTGTCGGGCACGGATGCTTCCTCTCGGTGACTTGCCAACATTAAAAGACATGCAGCGGAACTTCCACCAAAAGTGGCATTACCTGGAAATGCATTCATTACAACTACTTGTGGCATGACTTCTCAATTGGATTGCGGGCTGGCCTTTTCAAGTTTCTGGGGTAAGAATACTTTTATCATCCCAGTTCACAGACGAGCTGGATGAGTGGCTCCATCCCTGGTTGTGCACCCCCATCATGTGGGAGTCAGGGGCCCGAGGTTCCTACCTGAATGACTCAACCAACCATAGGTCACTACCTTCAGTTGCCAGAAACCCCTTCTGGATCATCAGAAACATTTGCTGCAACAAGAATCTTGGATTTCCACCTGGCATGCCTATAGCTCACCAAGGCTCTCTGATTCTTAATTGTTTGGGGTGACAAGATCTGACACTTTTGAAGACCTTACGCAGGTCAAATTAAGCACAGATGCAGCAGAATACATTACTCTTGTCGGCGGGCTCAGATATAGAAAACTCTCTTTTTGTCCCCTCGCATGCACCGGCTCTTTGTGTGCCACCACTCCTGCCCTGGCTGGCCGGCACACAGGCTGTCTCAGTGGCACGCGGCCAAGTGATCCCAGAGGCACGTGTTCGCCTTGCCGCAGCAGGTCCAGTCTAAGTCTTGCACCACCCAAGCCCCAAGGCCTACGGCGCGCGCCGCGGGGAACTGCCAGAAGTCCCTTGCGCAAAGGAAGTTCACGCCGCCGAACGGCCGCTCGTGTGTGACGTCTCTGCACCTCCAGGAGCGCTTCTTGCGGGTCGCGTCTGCCAGCCGCTCTTGCAAGACGGCTTAGACCTCCAGCGCGACGGTGCTGCAGTCGTTGGTACTTGACGAATTTGTCGGGGCCAAACTGCGTTTGTCGGCTCTGCTTGAAAGCCTTGACTTGCAGCTCGGCAAACGAGTGCAGCATGTTTCCGTCGATCAGCGCGGCCTGGGTGTTTTGTCAGGCCAAGTACACGAGAACTCTTGCCCCTGCGTCCACCCGCACATCTCCTCGAAAAAGCCACGCAGCCACTTGAGGGTCTAGCTCTTTCCCGCCCCGGGCACACCGTGCAAGAAGGCACGCAGCGGCTCGCTGCGAAAGGCCTCCTCGCGCCCTTCCCGCAGGCAGCGATCGATCACGGCCTGCAGAAAGGCCTGCTGCTTTGTGCTGGGCCGCGCCAGAGTGCTGGGGTCGTGCAAGTTGCGCAGCCATGGCGCAGCTGCCTGTGAACCCAGCTTGCCGTACACGCACGCCACCGCCAGCTGAGGGCGCTTCGCTCGGGCACTCATCTCCTACTCCGGCTCCGAGACTTCTTTGGGATCTGGGACCCCTGCGCACCGTCCGAGCTGCACGGGTGGCGAGGCACGGAGCCACGCATGTACTTCTTGTCTTCGTGGACGGGACTATCGCTGGCGCGACCCCTTGCCGCCCCGTCCAGGCGGCCGCAGCGCACTACCTGCAACGTTGCCGGGAGCCTGTGGCGCCTTTCCCAAGCCCGCTTCCAAAACTGACATGCTTGCAGAGACACAAGCGCGGTTCCTGAACGTGTATCTGCGACCCTAAACCCTGGATTTGCACGTGCCGCGCATCGTGGCGCTGGACCTGCCCATCTCCTCCTTGCAG